GCAATTGTCTCCTGGAGCGGAATTTCAGGGGAGCCTCCGATCCACCCGAGATAGAGTCCGAGAGCCTGCTGGAACACTCTGACTGAGCGAGGGGAAGGCATATGCCATAAAAGATTCGAAAAGAGGAAATTCAATTTGATCCACGTTCCTACTCGAGAGCGACACTTGAAAATCAGTGCATCCGAAGTGCTCGTCAACGTTCACACTTCTCTGAGGGTTTCGATTTTCAAGAAAACCGTCCGCGGCTAATGAATGCTTGCCAGTTGGAGCTCTTCGAAGTGAGCACAATGAGAGCTCGCAAAAGTGTTCTTCTCGGCCCTTGGACGATCCCAAGAGTTCGACCACTCTGGCCGTGGATCCGCATGTATCACTATGGACAAATTTTCGCAAAACTCGGCTTCGGGAACTTCCCTAGCTCACTGCCAAATAAGATCGTCACAATTTGCAATGCCAACACGCAGGATGGGATGAGCGGCGAAAAAGACGAGGAGTAGGCGAGCACAATGCATCGAGCTCATGCCTCAATGGAGCAAATCGTCGCCGTTCGCGAAAGTCGAGCTTCCTCCGGTAAACATATTGTGTGCCTCGACGGATTTCGACCCCGACTCCAAAAGTCATTCGTCGCACGCGTCGCCGCGATCCATCGGTATCAGTCGGGATCCTGCATTCAGAATCCGGCGATTTTTCATTTCTATAAGACACGGAGGAATGATAAAAATTGATTACGTGGCTGAACACAGACCTAGACGCGCTCAAGTCACCTCGTCCAAGGGCGGGACAATTTTGCACCGCTGTGAGGGTCAGGCGGGGTTTTCGTCGCAATATCACCTCGCTAGATACAGACTTCCGAACAAGATCATCTAACTACTCTTCGGGACGGGAATTCGATCGGAGCGTCAAGCACGTATCACTTTGAGCTGATTAAAATTCGAGTCGACTGGGGGGCGAGTGTGTTGCTGATATTCTCGACGATCGTCCGGAGCGGATGCCAAACGAAGCATCGAGCAAGGAGAACCGATAGACGGATGCATCTCTTTCTGTCGGTGACACTGATGAAAACTCGTGCGACCTCAGAAATCAGAGAAAATCTCCTCGGTCCTCTGTGGAATACTCAATATCATTCAGCCACTCCGGAGCCATCCTGGCCCCGCTCTGTGCTCCTCGTCTGCCCGTCTGTCCGACTCCTTTCGGAGCGCTCACCTCAGGGTTTCCTCATCATTGGCTCCAGGCAGCGTAGCGTGAAAGAATCATCATAAACTTGGCTGTCGTCTTCGTCGTCGCTGACATCTTGATGTGAGTCTGTCCTGCAGTTGATCGATTGATTTTCAAATCGCTTGGCCTCCTCACAAACAGAGGTTCGTGAGGATGAGTGGAGAAGCCCCAGATATCCAGATGGAGGGCTCGACAGGAAGTTACTCTTCGGATCAACTCTCCAGTACTATGGCAGGCACTGCATGGATTGGGCGGACAGCGACATTCCGATCGAGAACGAGGCCAGGACCTTAAAGACACATTGAAACCTGATTACCGGCAGGGACGATGACGGCAAGCACGACGGACGACGAGCGCACCACCCACCTAATAACTCGACACCTCGCCGAGGGTGAAGCCGGAGTATATCTCTGGAGAGAAACTGGAGCTCACAACTCTATCGAGAATAAGTACTTGCTGCGCGACCTTGCTCGTGATATATGAAATTATTTTGACGCCATGCTTTCGTATGATCTGCGTATCTCCACGTGAATTTATGATCGAAGCTACGCTGACCTTTCATGCATTTCCCTCCGTGCGTCATCGCAATCTGCTAGATTCGAAGATTTCCTGGGAGAATCCCGAACGCACTCCGATACGGAGTGTCCTCACAGGCTTCTCATATTTTAGAAAGCAATCGCAGGTAGAGCGCCGAACCTCAGTCCGGAGCCTGAATCGATGGCTTTCGAAGGCTCGTCTCCGTCGTTTTCCGATGTCTCAGTCAGTTCGCCCGTCCTGGGGCAAAGAGATGCCAAGGTCGACTCGTGGAAGCAGCGGTGGTGGCGGCCCAGTGGGCTACCGTGCTGTGCCCTGCTCCACCCTTGACGTTGTTAGCAGAGGTGGCTTCGTTCAGGCAAATCAAGAAACAGCCCACCAGCGCAGGATATAGGAAACACGAGCTGCTTTAGCGAACGAGTCGCATTAAAGTTTGTGGCTCCGATTTGTCTTGCCGCGGCAATTTGCCCAGTGAAGCGTTCGGAACGAAAATACGAAGCCGTACCCGCGTGGCGCACGTAACGCACCCGAACGAACAAACAAACGCATATGTTGCAGGGAATTTATTACTCGGTTGACACTACAGTATATTGATTTGAGCGTCGCGCCCTCGTCGAGGTCGCGCATTGGGTTGCCACTTCCGTCTCCTTCTTGATGGATGCCGTGGATTTTGTACGGAAAAAGCAACTCATTCCTCCATGTTCTTCGAGCGTTCTTGGCGAGCTTTTCTCATGCAAATCGTATGTACTCTGAAGCTTCTGAGCGAAGAAAACTACGTTATCAGCACCGCGTCCCCTCCCCGGGACTTCGCGTCCAACATGCTAATTATATCCTACAACGCGCCAGAATCGGGTCGTATCGACAATTTTTTTATAAGCTTCAACTCGGGCGATCCTTGAAGTTTCCCCCGGTTCGTCGATTGTGTGCCGTCAATCTCTGTCTAAGGGAACTCACTGACCCTAAGCGGTCTTGCTACCATCGTCTACGACTTCCATTTAGCGAAAGGCCGTGTGCGGATTACTGCCGTCGTAAGCTATGTTAACACACACCAACCCACTCCCGCGTCTTATACTAACTGAATAGATTCTCCGCTCCTCTAGGAGCTTTAGGAGGGAGATGAGGTGGGGTGGTAGGTTTCCCAATAGTTGCGGCTCTCAGTCGGGGATTTTATTGGGTTTATTCGTGTCAGCTAATTATGGACGTGAGTCCGCCTACCAAGATTCCGAATGAGCTCTAGTGCCCTATCCCAGCGGTTCTCAACCTGGGTTCCGCGAGCCCCTGCTCGGCTGCTCAGACTTTTATTCATTTTATCGAATTGGAATGAATTTTCTAAGCTCTAATGCATGCAGGATACTTCATGCGATCGTGGTCGAAGGTTTTGAGGTGATTGAGGGGAAAATTTGGAAAGATAGAGTCCGAAACCAATAATAAGGGTTCCGCGGAACCCCACCTGGGTTCCGCGGGGCAAGAAAGGTTCAGAACCCCTGCCCTATCCAATAGGTCGTTTTCCTTAACCGCATGAGTCGGGGGCACTCAATATCCTTGGTCGTTGAAAGTTGTGATAATTCTGAGGATGTATTCTAACCTCTCTGATATTCCACCGACATCGGGAACTTCCATGGATCTCCGGCTCTCCAGAGATAGAATGTCTAATGTCTAATGTCTGCTGGATCCCCATCGTTATGCGGAGGGGAAAATATCTCATTTAGTTCGAGCGTGGAATCACCAGAGACCTCTCCCACTGATCCGGACCATGAAAAATTCCCCGGAATTAAAAAATAGTAGTCGTTTGCGCGGGGTCAAAACGTGGCCAGCTCCGACAATTAAGGGCCGACAAATTGACGCTTACACGCGGGAGGCCGTCGACGACAGCATTTGCAGCCGAAGCCACAGTCGGTCCTCAAGTATTTTACGCAGACGGACGGTCGAATCACTGAATGGATAGGTATCTAAGGTCCGCGGCTCAATCTGAGTTTCATCGCCATGTGCAGAAAAATTCTCAGCTTGAATTTGCATTGTTTCGACGTTTCCTCGCGGTGGTCTCGTCGCTCGCTCGAGTCTCTTGGGCTAGATAGCCTGCTCGATGGTTCGGTCGACCAGTCGCTCCGCTAGACCATCTATCTGTGTGTCGAACACGCTTACTTTTGTCCCCCGAAACTCAGCAGCAAACTACTGATCCAGACCCACGTGTGCATCGCAGACAATGTCAGTATCACAATTCGATCGCCGCCGACACCCCTCGGCACGCTCCATATGCTCCGGACTTCAGACCCCAGGTTCCGAATCTTCGCGTCCACCATCATTACTCGCAGCGGTGGTGGAGCGGCTGGCGATTTTCATAGAGTCCTGCGACACTCGCACCATCGAATCGTCTGAACGTGTGAGGGACGGAAAGTTCGGCCTGTCAAATCGGGGATTCAGTCCCCGGACTCGAATTTTGAGTGCGATGCTTAGAGTCTGAGATCTACCGCCAACTCGAGTCGAGAACGCCTCAATCCCTCGAAATGCTCCAAGACGTAGCGGTCTCGTCGGGGTTATGCTCTCAGAGAGTTCCTATCGCGGAAGGGCTCGTCGGTCACAATTCTTCCCTGTTCCACATTCTTTGTTTCGTTTGCTTTTCAATGTCACGCTGCATTTATTTCTGATCACTCCGAGCTCAGAGCACGTGGTCTACATGTAAAGGTGAAGGCAGCCGCAGCGGCGATGGCGGCACCTCGAATTTAATAAACCCCCCGGGGGGCTGTGGGCGTTCCTAAACACACACGACCTCGTTTTCCATCTATTCTCGTTAGTGGAAGCACATGGAGAGAGCGAACGAAACGACGGAGTCGTCCACTAGAGATAGCGAGAAAGGAAACAAGGGTTACAAACACCCCTTTGAGGGATACACTGTCCCAATATGGTCAGCTCTGGTAGGTGAATAAATCTTCACCGGATGCGTGATTGGTTCGAGTCCGGAGCTACAGTCCTCGTTAGTGTCGCACTCGTACCGGACGCGACTTGTTTGTGAAGCTGAATCATGGCCTAGCTGTAAAGCCTCGCTTTCGAATCGAAGACCATGCGGCCAACTGAGTCTATTTGGACCCTGGACCCCGGACTAGAAACCATGTCCAAATAAACAGCTGACCCCAGGCTTCCGTGACGCTTGTCATCGATTGTGGTCGCTCTGGACCGGTGTGCCGATCGACGAAGTTAAACGATACGATAATGAAAAGCAGGCGGTCCCCCCATGATGAATTCTCATTTCGTTGCAGGTGTTCAGGACAACACTCGTGCCTGTTCAGCTGGACAAGGGACCATGTGAAGGATCCGGAGGCCCGGGCACGGTGCAAAGGCGAAGGGATTATCCATGTGGCTTATCGATGCGTGGCTTTCCGTGAGTATGATCGAGTCATTATGGGGTATTTTTTGTGGGGAGACGTAATGAGGACGAGAAACCCCAGGGAGCAGGGATCCGGAGCCCCTCCGACATCGAGGAGCGATCATTGTCAATCTCCCTCCGATGGAACACTCTGATTTCCCTGCGAAACCACAGACTTCGATGATTCGTTTTCGGGCCCGATTGGAGGATTTCAGCGTTGAACATTCGACGCGACTCCCTCCATTCGATATCAGGACGCTGCAATCGCCAGGGCGGGTATCGAGTGCACCAGGAAAGAAAAGTCATGATCCCGCAAGCAACAGAACCGTATAGCTTGTGCACTTTTAGGTTTTGGCTGGGAGAGGGATGTCCCCTGTGTATCTCGTTCGGAATTCCGTTTGTTGCTGAGGTGATTAAGGTGTTTGGGGACTGGACACAGAAGTCCGCGACGGTGATAAAAATTAGATTGGGGACTTGGACCTGGCGGCTTATCTCCCCAGAGCTGCTCGGTCTGTCGTCGTAGCGGCGTGAAGAAGCTTCGTCAAAACACATTAGAGTTCACCACAGTCTACCCGCCCGACGGCCCAGCGGAGCAGCCGAGTGTCGGTGGCGGAAGAGTCCGCCGCTCACGCTCTGAGCTACAATCACAACAAACACATGACTGTGTTTGTGTCTGGAGAGTTGCCGGATCTCAGGAACGTGTTCAGTGAATCCGGCCCGATCCGGTCGGGTTCTGTGACGAGAGTCGTCTTTGTCCTCTGGCTGTGCTGACTCGCCGGCTCGCTCTCCGGCTTGTCCGCTCGTCTACTTTCTGTCAATCAAGTCGCGAAGAACTAAATTAAGATCACTCATCGCCGAGCTCATGTCGGACATGCTACTGGCTGTGTCCAAAATTAACCGCTACTCGAGGAGTATGGAAGCTAATTGAGTGGTTCACGGTGGGTTTTCGCAAATTCATCATGTGGCCGTATCAATTAGTCTCGAAAAAAATATCTCCGGTTCGGAAACGGAGGCGAGCGCCTCCGTTCAGAAGTTCCGACTTCCGAACGAGCTGTATTCCGCTCGAGGCTCCTCGAGAACGATCCACGGGAGCTCGTACAGTATTAACAAGTGCACGAGGAAAATAAAAAGCCCGTATGGTTTTGCACGGAACGTTCTCGGGATGGATGACGGAAGTTATAAAACGTAGCCTCAGAGCATGTTTTTGCAGTTTGCAATTCGACGATCAGAAAAACGTGTCTTCTCGAACACCATAGATTCTTCCCGTTGCGTCTGAATTCGATTCATCGATCCATCCGCCACGGAGTGTCGATGCTAGCCTATAATTCCATGGGCCAGGTTTTAAGACCTCGGACTCGGACTCCGAAGATAAATACATTCATTGTGGCTTGATTGCTCTGATTGAATGGAGATGGAGACTGCGTGATTACAAAGAGAGAAACGGAGGAGCTCGGAGAGCGAAATACATCGAGGCGAAGTCGTGAAGGGACCGACGACAGGCAGATAGCCGCCGCGCCTAAATGTCCTCAGGGAGGAGAGAGCGGTCCCTCGTTTATTTAATATGGAATGCTTTATTAGATATTGAGAGGATTATTGGAACCTGAACAAACACCACAAAGCGTGAAACCCTTAATGGACTCTGACGAACTCACTCATTCATATTCGACTCGCGAAGTTCGAGCGGAATCCCTCCCAGTTTGAAATATCCCCACATGGTGCTCCGCTGTTGCTGTCACCTTCTCCGAGTTGACAGCGACAGTAAATGAATCGACTGACGAGGAAGGAACGAATGGGCGTATGGGAAACATTCTCGGGCTGGAATGTCCGTGTCCGGAATATGTAATAAGGGTTTTTGAGCGAACATCCATCCGAGTCCTAGAGCGTGAGCCCGGATTTCATTGAAGGGAATCTCACAGATGAACCCATGATCCGGAGGCACCGGGGGATGGAGTTCTGGCATATCGGGGGTCAAACAGCACTTCGCGATGACAAGCGTTCAATCAGGATCGACGATTGTGTTATGCTCTCGTCGCTCTCAAGTCTCCCGTCATGCAGAGCTAACCATACAGTCATTGTTCTCATCTCGGATTACTGTGAGCGTCTGGTCGAGCCCTGAGCGTGACCCTCGCCCTGCCCTCTCCCCTCCCCCCTCTACAACTTAGAGTGGGACAGTTAGCACTATGAGCGGCATTGAGGAGAATGCGAACTCGACCAAGATGCGTCCTCGTGGCCTGCTATCGATTCGGTCCACGATGAAACCAGTTAGGCAGCCTCAAGGTATGAGGTCTCTCGATGAAGAGGAGAGGAGTTGCACTTGAAAGTGAACCGTCGGTATTGTCTCCTTGGACGCGCTCCAAGCCCTCCATGGACTCCTCACAAGCAGCCCAGTTCGACGATTCCGAGAGGTGAGACTGACCCTCTCCAATATAAGCGTGCCAGTAAGAGAGCTCGGACTGCTGGGAGTTAGATGGAGGAAGTGGTCTACCAAGACCAACTCATCAATAAGAATGTTTCGGGGGTGGTTCCCTGGACATGGGTTTCGGACTCGCGGGGTTCATTGATTCTCGCTATACAAGTCCAAGTGAATGTGGCTTTAATCGGGGGAATTTATCTCGTCGGGGTCGGGAATTCCTCTGATGGGGAGGGATTTGTCTCGGAGTCAGACTCTTCCCAACAGCATGACTCCCCTCAATTACCGGAGCCTTAGAAAATACATTCGGAGTCCTTCGGGTTGAAGAAGAAAGTGCGGAATATGACTGGGACATATCGAGTCGGGACTCGACTTTCGATTTCGATTTTTACGATTCCTGTTTAGAGTCCCGGCTCGAAAGTCCGGTGGGAGAGCCTGACTCTCCTGAATTTCTCGATGAAGTTCTATCCGACGATTTGCTCGAGGAGAGATTCAGATATCCGTTATCTTCCTCCATTCTTCGGAAAGGGTTCAATCTAGCGTGATGTTCCCGCGAATGTATTATTCGTATCACATAGTCGCAGTGTCCTCATAGATGTCGCAGACGTAGGCGATAATTTCATGAATCAGTCTCTTAGTCATCGAATTCCTTTCCGCTCAAGGATTCATCGTGAAATGTAGGCAACGAACGCCTGATTGCAGGGTATTGTCTGGTACGCCTCCGAGATCTGAAAAAAATTGACTTTCTCCCCCGTTTGCTTGCTCATGCCGTACATATTACACAAGGTGTCCGACAAAGGACCTACAGCACGAGCCACTCTCGCAGCCCTGTCGAATTCTTGGTAGTTTTCTTTCCTCTTTCATAATCATCAGGAGCGCATTAGTTCAGGCTTCGGTGTTGCTCAGTCATAAATTCTCGTCGGTGAAGGCGACGACTCCAATGAAGCTAAACTTGACGAAGTCCGATGTTTCGCCAGAGGACCAGCTGTCCCCAAACGACCTCGAATTTACGACCCTCATAGAAAAATAATTGCAAGAGTCGGCGGTCACTTCTTGCTGCAACGTTTTTAGGCGAGAGCAAGCACTCGCCGATGTCCCTCGTGCCCGCAGTGATGATTATATTCCTGAATCAAGCGCCCGAGGCTAAAACGATAGCCCGAGGAAATAATTTCGTGAATCGAGTGGGAATGCGGGAATGTTGGTCGGTTGACTAGCGTTCCATAACACTCCACTTGGAGCAGAGTAAAGAGTTGATACGAGAGAGAGCGAATTCTGAGATGAATCGCAGATGCCACCTGCTGTTTCGAGCACCATTGTAGAAACAGCGAATTTTTATTTTAGGAGAAAGTAGGAGAGAGAGAGTCGGTTCCCGCTGAATTCGGCATCCACTAGAGGAGGACCACAGACAGGGGCGGGATTTTCGGAGGATTCCATGCTAATCTGGCTCAGTCCAACTGCTGAAGTGGCCGGATGCTCTGCATCCAAAACAAGATGCTATCTGTGTCTGAAGAGGTCTTCGGGGTGCTGAGCATTCAGACACCCACACCCCCGATATCCTAAGCTAGAGTCCTCCCAGGCGGTCCCCTCCCCTCGTGACCTCACAGCTGTCCGAAGAGGCGAGCGGGCGAGCCAGTCAGTCAGTTGGCGGACCGGAGATTCGATATACCTCTGGGCCAATAAATGAGGAAGCGGTCGATCCCTCAAAGGGACTCGGTATCGTAGCCCGAGGTCGTCGTCCAACAGGAGATGCTGGGAAACATCTCCGATCCCCTGTGAGAATTCAATATATCCAAATGGAACGTCTGTAATTCCGAGCTCTCGATCGGGAGGATTCGTGTTCCGAGCCGTCCGCTCCTGCGTGGAGACCCTTTGGCCTGATTGCGGACGGGTTGAGATCCCAACGGAAACTACCGTTCTCGCTCCTCGAAGATCGACGGCCGCGTATTTCCTCATTTTCGGTGCCTTCCTGTGTCGACGGCTCACTTTCGAAAGGAGCGACGGCAACAGACGCGCGCGAAACGGTTTCCGGTGCAACTTCCGGATGAAGCATCAATCACGTTTGAATTGAACAAGGAGAACGCTCGGTAGAAATGTTGATCAGCCGAAACGTGCAGAGCACGCCGTCGAAACTGGGGAAACGGCACGGACGGGACAGAAGGACGACACTGTTGTTCAAAAACGGCAGCGAGAGAGTGAACCAATGGAAAAATCATCAGTGAAGTTTTTTCTCCAATATTTCGCTACCTCGATTGTAGTATCGCTTTCCGATTCCCTAGTCTCCTTGTCATTGAAGGAGCAGCAGCTCGTTCACTCCTGCGCCGCCCTAGACCGCCGTTGTCGTCGGTTCGGCTGTGTCGAGCACGGCTGGAAGCGGGGCGCCGAGGACCCACCGTGTACTTGTACAAGATGGTTGCAAGACAAAAGACCCCAGAGCAAACTTCGACGGGCGAAGCAATCAAAAGTCTGTATTTGCCACCATGACCTCTGTCATCACAAGTCCGACTAAGTCCAGCCGGGAGTCGGAACCCTCTCGGACTCAGGACATGCCACTTGGGGATATCTCCATTCAGCGGATTATTGCACGCCATTGAGCCACTGGGATTGTGTGATATGGCCGTCTACGCGCATGGCTACGCTCAAAATATAGTCCGGAGCCATACTAACCTGGCTGTGAATTTCGCTTATTTTATGGAGAGTTGATTCAGAGATCGCTATCAGTGCGCCTCCTTTCTCATCCTCTTATCTCTCAAGTGCCCCCCTCAGCGTGAGCTAGGACACAGGACGCGAGAGATTGAATGGCTCAGAACGATACCGTTGGATATATTCATCTTATCATCAAGTCGAGTGGCGTCAAACAACGACGTCGTTTAATGAAGTCATTATTCGCAAGAGATAATTAGATGCCAACGACAGTATTATTTTAGCCTGAGTATGTTTAGCGCTCTATGTCGCTGACTTTGGCATCGCAGCAGCAAGAGAGACGGAAAAGGAGCACGTGGAAGAATGATGGAGTGAAAATCTGCGCTCGGAGCGGGGAATGACGAGACCGTAGCGACACGCAGGCTCCGCGACGCTCAGCCGATTGATGCAAATTTCGATTCAGTTCCGAAAGTTGTGCTCGAGTCAAGAGTCACAAAAGGGTTACAAGGGTGATATCAGGCGGAAGCATAGAGCTTTGGAAGTCGAATCGGGAGACGATCTCATTAAATTCGAATCGAAAAGTTGTTGGCACGGTGGAAAAAAGGCACGCTCGGAACCCATCCGACCTAAGAGGCTCCGAGCTCGTGTGCCCGAAACAGCGAGGTTTAGCTCGTCAATCCGGTGATCTGCACAGACAAGAATACCGATTTGGGGGAGATCAGAGTGTGTGTAGGTTTTTCAACATGCTCAACACCTCAACGCCGAGGCGGAGATGGAGCTTTGATATCCGTTCACCTCATCACGTCTCCTGTTTTTCGATGCCTAATCCCTCATGGTGACGTCAATGATTTCGACGAACACTCAGGATCGGATTTCTATCATCGAGCGGACTCGCCCTCAAATAAGATCGTTGTAGTGTAGTAGAAAAGGAGGGGGCCGTAGGAATTCTGGAGAATTTTTTCAAAAAACCTAATCTTCGTCTCGGCAGACCCCCGGGACCGAGACGGATACAGCAGAAGTGGGACTACGGAATAACAGATGGTTATTCACATCGAGAATGAAACGAAAGAAGGCAAAGCTTGCAGATAGACACCACCGCAGAAGGCGGTGCGGTGAAAAATAGAACAACCTGTTTGTGTTTGGGAGCAGAAGGTCTCGATCGAAGGCTGAGTCTTATGGGAGAGGGAGGCTCAAGTAGAAAGAGTGCGTTTGAATATTTGCCCGCGCCCTGGCTACGAGTCTTCAGGAAGCGCCTCTCTGATTCCTCCCCTTCAGAGAAAAAAAGCTTCTCGGGTGATTGGTCCTCTCGACAATCGGCGTCGGGACGTCTGGTGAGGCGCGGGACTGGGGGAAACAATTTCCTCACGCTCAAAAACTCCCCGGAATGTTAGTCTATAAAACAAAAGTTCAAGCCAGTCAAGGTCAGTCCTTCTCAGAATGTTCTCTCCGAGGGATTTGCGGATGTCGACCTGGATGGGACGTTTACGATTGTCGAGGATTCCGGACGTACGGCGCAGTTCCTCGTGTCCTGCCGGAGACCATATAGGGAGAGACTGTTTTAGCTTCATGGGCACTCATTCAAGAGCACTGAGGTCATCTGGTAGCAGTCTGTCATCATGGAGCAGTGTCGTTCATTCGGTGCGAGTTTCTGTGACTTGACCATTCAGGAAAGATTTTCCCATCGCGGGAGATTTTCGCGATGGCTGTGCGGTCCTGTACCGAGCCGACTGACAGCGACGCAGGAAACAGCTTAGATTATTCCCCCGCAAGCCCAAGTACGACATCGTCTCCTGACGGCACTCCTCCTCCCCTCCTACGATCCTCTTCTCCCTCCCCCCTCCCCGATGTTTGAGCGAGAGACTTCGCAGGACGTCTACTCTATCCCCGTCGGAATCCTCCCTCCCTTCGGGCGGCTTCGCGAGGTTTACGACTAAAGGTCGTCTCGCTAGGCCATGACGGACATATAAAATGAGTGACCGGCTCTTATTCGGATTTGATCCGCGGACCGTTAGAGGCTCATAACGCCATAAAGGAGAACTCGGGGAATTGGTCGCAAACCACCACAAGAAAACACTCGTCCGGTCCGACTCTGCCGTTTTCGGCAAGCGCTCTGCTGCTAGGAGCTCCCGATCCTCTTCAGCGACGATTTCCCCTCTCGATGGACGCTCGGTCCTCCTGGCTGACACCCTCCCTCGGCGGAGAAAAGATGTCGTCCCGATCAAGTCCGTAATAATTATTCAGACTAAGATGGAATTCCTCCGAGCAGCCGGGGAGCATGCCTCAACCGCACGCAATCGACGAGGACCAAATCATGAATTCAGGAATTTCAGTACGTAGGTACTCGGATCTCTAGTGTATATCCGCTCAATTAAATACAGCGTGACCGGGTTCGGTCTTCCCGACATTTGTGAGCACTCTCACCACAAGTCAGACTGGAAGAGCTTCATAATTGGATCTCATCCGTCACAGTCAATAGGACGGTCGACTTCGCAGTGGTGTTTGTCGAGAAAATAATGAAATTGTAGATTTCTCCTGCTCAAGGCACGCGAGCGTTCCTGTGGACCGACCTGGAGAGCGGGAGCCCGAGACGCTCGAACGATCGATCGTTTGGAGCCCGCTTCATAAAGATGACCTTGCCTGCGTCGCTTCGTCCTCTCGAACGTCTGTATGATTCCTATCGGAATTCCAATCCAAACCATTATTTTTCGTCAAGAGCAAATCGACGAGGACGACGACGACCCGAGAAGCCGAGAAAAGTCGAGAGAAATAGCGGCCTTTATAGCGTCTTCGACGTGGAACCTACCGGGTCGAATGGAATCGGTCGCATCGAGTCCGATGGTCCGAACCCACCAGGGTGATGCATCGCGAAGGTAGCGATCGAGCCAGAACAACATTTTCGACAAATGATGACCACCGATTATCCGATTGGCCTCCATTCGACTCATGGACTCGTAGTGGCTTATTAGTGGTAGCCATCGTCCACAGGAGGAATATGATCGCGTATCACAATGAGCCTTCCACCGATAGTCCAATTAGGAGCGACGGAAATAGGGGCGTTTCCTTCGGTCCTTGCCGGTATGCGCTCGGTGTCCGCCTACCTGCCGATGATATTGCGTGTTACGCCAGTGATGACGTCGTCGCAAAAACCGAGCCGAAAGGAAGCTCTTTTTACGTACAGTCCTCGATGTCTCTCCTTGTCCTCCTCCGCCTTTCGGGAGAATACCTCAATCCATGAATTCAGTTGGAGAACGCCCCAGGCTACAAGTGGCCGTCCTTCTCCGAGCCGACTCCACAATTAGGAGTTTCATTAGGACTTTCTCATTTGTCAAGTGAAGGAACGTAGGAAAAGGCAGCGGGAGAAAGAGGGAAGCGGAGAACGAAGACAGGATTCTCAAATACTTCCAGCGGGGAACCGCTTGGGACGAGAAGATCTCTCATTAGTCCACGTAAACTGCGGCGCTCGGCAGGAGGGAGCGAGGGCAAACTATAAACACGAATGAGAATGGGAATAATTAAAAACGACAAAAGAGCTCGAGGTCAGGGCAGGAATGTCGATTGCGGGCTGGCTCTGTGTTTTAATCCTTCGCGTTCCCTTCCAGATTCGAACAAACTCCAAGTCACCTCGGTGTGCTCCAAACGCCTCGGAGCCGAACAGAGCTACGGCTATCTGATGTCGCCTGGCTACCCGGAATTCTACTACGTCGATGCGAAGCACAGCCAGAAATGTAATTGGACCATTCAAGGCAGACAGGGTCAAACAGTGACAGTGAACGTACTCGATGTGCGCTTAAGACCTATGCTGCGGAGGAGTCATAATCACATCACATCTGAGGTGCGTATCGAATGCCTTATCGAAGAGGTTCCCTCCGGCCAATATTATTCTATACAGCATTTCTCATCGAACGGTGGAGGAATTCCGAGCGGAGAGATGGCCGAGCGGTCTCGAAAATTCCCGCCCGATTCGCGCCGGCGCCGCCAACTTGAGGTTGTCGTGGAAGGGGAGTCGCCGCGTGGATTGGGCAGACGAGCACTCCACCGTCGACGCTTTGGTGGTCCTCGGTCCACGGCCTATCGAACTAGAATGCTCGCCCCCGGAAAATACGGTGGGCTTCGGCCCGATTTGCTGTTGACCTCTTGGCTCCCTCGATTCGTCCGAATCAATTCGGGCAGGGGTGATTCCCCTTATCTTGATGCCGTTACTTCCGATCCGCCATCGTCGTCCGGTCGACCGGCGAGCGTCTTGTTCCTCGACGATCCGTTTCTTTCTCTCGTGCATGAGATCCTGTCTCCACAGAATCCTCTCCGCATGCGTGCTCCTCTCGGAGGCTCCTGGTTCTGCTCAATATCGATGTATAGCGATATAGCGCGGACTTTTCGCGCAAACAGCCTTGACATGAGGGCTGTCAGACTGGCGGTCGAGGCATATTCGGTCGGCCCGTCATAGAGAGGGTCAATGTATCTCTGCTCCTCCGGCTCGGGATTCTTTTTTGAGCCGGGAAATAATACCACCAGAGGTATATCGGAAGAGTAAGCTGAAAGTAAGCGATGCGCGGGAACGCCGCCATTCGGAATGTATCAGGAGTACAGACACTTCTACTGCACAACCAGAAGAAAGACACTCGCTGGTCATTGCTGGATTACTTAAGTCGTCGATTACCACACATCATCTCAGCACGATCGAACCGCATTGGGCGAGTTGTCCTCCTCAAGTGCTCCGTAACACTTCCCGATTGATTCTCAAAGGTTGCCCCCTTGTCTGTCCGCATTACGCATTCTGATATTGGTGGCTCATTGATAGATGGACCGCCTGGGGTTCGTTTTGGAGAGCAGACTCCGCGCGCTCTGTGTCGGTTCCTCCGCTGAAACTGTTAGAGTCCCTCACAGGGGGCGCCACCATAGGTGATGTGGTCCTATTCTTTTGCCGCTTGGGCGACCCAACTCGAGGAAGCAGACCTTTTCATCCCGATCTCAATCTCAGGAAGCTTCCTCTCGGACGCTTCCTAATCGTCGCGGAGGCTTCAGAGCTCGTAAGTCGGATGATTCCAATTCGGAACACCTCCTCTCACCCCTAATCCAAGCCCCGATGCTTCACACTCAAGATGCCACCCTCAGCTGATGATGCGGCGGCGTTTCGCAACGCAGACGGCCGTTTCATCTTTCGAATGCGTTCTCGAATACATTCTTCCCATACTGGACGAGCTTGACTCCGGCCTGGATGCACCCTTCTTCCTTGGAGAGCCCGGCCGAACCCGTGGTATTATTTCCGTCAGTTTTCTGACCGACTGATGAGTGCGCCAGCGCCTTCGGTTTGTAAAAATAACTAGCCCACAATCCCAGTATAATCGCTCAGCTGTCGGACGCTTGATCCGATTATACATGCTTTACATGTGGATGAGGTCCACCTAGAACACAGGCAGATACTTCGATCGCGCGAGGGGAACTCGGGGCATCCTTTCAGGTGAGCCACGGGCCTTCGAGAATGACCCGTCTCCTCGAGACGGTCCCCTTGCTGTTGATGAAACGTCGGCTGTACTCCTCTTCTAAGCAATCTTCCTTCTCACATTTCGCGACTGGAAACGAACCAAGAGCGCTTCACGATAGATCAGGCTAATATTGACCGGACATTCCTTCTCCACAGGAGTGCGGCGATCTCCTCCGTTTGACATCCGGGGATCACAGCGGATCACTTCTCGCAGACATCTGCACCGATCAACAGCGCTATTTCCTAAATACGTTTTCCAGTGCCAACTCCATCTCTGTACAGTTCATCTCATCGGGCTTCGCGCCGCAGCGAGGATTCATCTTAGAGTACAAAAGTGAGTCAGTTCACAATTCGTTGCGGTATCTGCTCTGGACCGAGCTATGGGAGACATCTCTTTTCTATGGTCCCGGTTTAAGCCAAGAGGAAAGTTTCTACTCGACCACAATGTCGAGTATCTCGGCCGCTCGAACGAGCTCGAGGTCCCGAACGGAAAATACCAATACCTAAAAATAAATAATGTTCACTCATTCGCGATATTATGTCATGCGATGCCGACAAGAATTTGACTGCCGATTATGGAAACCCACAAATGAAATATTTCGATTCATCCTCATGAGTTCCTTTCTTCTTTCCACAGTCTCGGGTTGCCCTACCCTTCCAGAACCTATCCAGGGGTTTCTGGAATCTCGAAACACGACGGCGGCGACTTATCGCTGTCGGCAGGATTTCTACTTCGCCGACACTCTTTCGCATCATAAGACATTACTCTGCCTGAACGGCACTCGTTGGGACCGGCTTCTGGGACAGTGTCTCTGTGAGTAGAAACTGCTCTGTTTTTTTTACATAATTCCCGATGCATCGCTCAACTCCCGCGCCCCCTCAAATCGTTGCTTTCCGTCACGCGCGTTTTGCCTACCCATTCAGACCTAGGCTGATCGAACAATTTTCTCTCGGTTGGAGGAGTGTTTAAATCAGACGTCCGGGAAAGACGCTCCGGGAAGCCCGGATATCTTGACGTTGATCCTGGAAACGGGGTCGGTCGAGTTCTGGAAACGAATCAAAATCCGAAGCTCCTGGTCGACCCGCTCGTAGTGCCTCAATGAGAACGGAAAATTCAGGAAGAGCGCGTCAAGGGGTTCCGCGCATCTATATATCCATGTGTCTGTTCGTTTATCTGTCGTTGTACTTATCGATCCAGCAAGCCATTCAATCGACAGTCAGCAAGCGATCGCGGATCAATCCCTTGAGTAATCCGCGTGTCGAGAGGTCACTGGTAGGAAACCATCTCGAGCACCATATCGACACGTCAGTCGGCCAAATATTTCGGGGTTCCAGAGTACGCACACGTTCTCGAGTCTTGAGGCATGGGAATGGAGTCAGCAATCAGGAATACTGGGGCCCCGAAGCGAGCCGCGGTTTTTTTTGGGATATTCCTCAAACAATGATAGTCGCCATCGCGCGTCCCCACCGGTTTTCTCGCTTGAATTCACGCTAATCGATGACGATTGGTACAATAATTGCAAATTCTTCATTCCAGCGACGTACGAACTCGCCTACCAAGGCAAGTTGATTCTCGGCTCTGGACGTCCTGGTTACTCGCAAGAGCCGTCGAATACGATCGACGACAGCGACGACCTGCCTCGGGCGATAACTTCAAACACCAACCGAGAAACAAAATCTAGTCTGAACCTTTCATCCCTGACGCGCACCATGTCGGAGTACGCGGACGTAATCATTCCTTCGATCATCGTGGGTCTCCTGGTCTTCGGCAACACGATCATCGTTCTTTATATATGCAAACTCAGGAGGCAGAACAAGCAGCGCATTTGTGCTCGAACCCCCATTGAGCTTCCCCTGAAAGACAGAGACGAGCATAAAATCGCTCCGCTCGCCACTATCTAACCGTGGGAAGGGCACGCGTTCCATATCACAGAAAACGGAGGAACAAAATGTTCCAACAATGCCGTCTATGGATCAACTGTATAGCAGCGACCGAGCAAGAAACTTCATCCTGTAAATGGCCTAGTGTAAAGTCGTTCCTGTAATCTCGATCGAGGTTTATTTAGTAGGTTAATGAATGGTAATTACTGATGATGATAATATAATAAGTAGACAGGCACCCGATTTCTGCTTTGATCGGTATTTCGTGGTCTTTCATTTACGTGAGAGTTTCGGTAGGACTTCGAAGAGCTCTCCGTCTCAATCGTGGCAAGAAGTATGTATTTGTTCCTCGGTTTAATGTAAATCCATGACCAGCTAGATGAGGTAGACACGCTTAGCGACAGACATAGCGTGAGGATGCGAGGAGTGATGGAAAAAACAAGACAGTATGTATTGGAAGAAGACGGCGTAGGCGAGAACGGAAGCGCCTCCTGGAGCATAGAAGATGAAAAGAGAGCCTGTACATAATGTTAAGTGTTCCGAAAGGTCGAGAAGGACCTCCTTCCGTGTAAGAAGAAGTTCCATGGAGAAGCTTGAATGAAATTCAGACATTGATGGTTCCTGGCGAAATATGACTTTTCATTTCACCTGCATATAGCCCAAGGGGCGCGAGTGGCTTTCGATACAGCGAAAAAGCTCACGGTGGATAGCGGAGCTCCAACAAGCGCTGATGAAGGTTTCTCGCGCGGTTTCTGAGTGAGAAGGTCCGCCTCAAGGTTGTTTGCTCCGGATCTCGCGGACGGCTCTGTCCAGATTATCCATGGCCTTGAGATCTTCTTTCAAAATGTCGATCAAAGCTGCGAGGCCTGAGGAAATCCTTCATTGCTTGAGCATTAGATCGAGTCGGTGAGTCGATGCCTCGACGGATCGAGGACGCATACACCGTGAGAGGGAAGAGCTGTTCACGGAGGACTCTGGTTCGAGGTTGGGGAATCGATTTCGAACCTTTCTGATGTTCTTGAAAGAGATCACGGATCCGCGGAAGATTTTCAGAGTTGATGCCGAAATCTTCTTGAGCGTTTTCATCCTCTAACGTAGACTGAAGAATCATATCCTGCACTTCCCGGAACCTTCCTTTGCTCAGGTCGTGGATTTCTTCGAGGAGATTTTTCAGAGAATCCTGTGGGAGACGTAATCCGGTGTCCACGGCTTTCCCATGGGGAGCTCGTCGCTCAAAGGTTTCCACTAACCTCAAGGAAACTCTCATAAGGTTTCTTTTCAGTTCCCCTCATCCTACAGCGCTCAAATACGCCCATGACTCCGAGGATCCGATGTGCAATTTGGTGTTGATTCAAATTAAATTGATCGATCCGGGCTTTGGCAAGGCGAAAGCGCTCCTCCAACCGATCGATCTCTTCGCTCATGGATGCAAGTTTTGCTTTCAGGCGTTCCTGGTACTGCAATTGCAATTCAAACCTACAAGATCATAAGACGATTAATTCTCTCTCTTGAATATCCGTCTATCGTCGTCATCGATTCCGACTGCCCGTTGAGAAAGCTCCTCGAATGATCTCCACATGGGCGGGCCTTGGACTCCACGCTTATTAATTTCACCGAGCCAACCTGGTGTCGAGGCTTTCGAAGCCGATTACCGGCACAGGAACCAATTTCGTACGATCCGGATTGTCCGATTTGGCGAGTTCCCAGCTCTCAGCACTGACACCCGGAGGAGGGTTAGCGAGGTATTGTTCAACTTGCCGCTGGAAATGTCCCGAGTTTTTATTGAGCAGCAACCGGGAAGGAGAGAATCCCTGATCTTCCCACGGAATACCTGAGCCAGCTCGACGACTTCAGCGAGGTCTACGACGCCCATGTCGGTTAGAGCCGCCTTGCATTTCGGGTCATCGAATGCCTCCTTAAGTTCTCGCGATCCCCATCGGCGTTGCTTCCCACCGGCGATTCTCTCCTTCACGTAGACAATTATCCGCGTCTGGTAGCTTCCGAGATCGTTCATGGAATCCACGAAGATGGATAGGCTGTCGGACTTGATGACATTCCTGTGGAGCAGTTCCGTGATCGTAGGGACCATGCTCCGAATTTCTTTGATATCCTTGCTAATGAGGAGACAGACAAGACCGTCGTCAGCACGATGAGAGGGTAAGGCGTTGTAAGCGAAGGTCTGGAAATTTTTCGAAGGGCTAATGAGTGCAGACTTCCCGAATCCAGAATACGTGAATTTCGGATTTGAAACCTCGAGGAACGACTCCGGAAAGATCGGAAGAAACTTGGACGGGCGCATCGACCCAAGAGAATGAATTAACGTACTCTGAAAACATAGGACGGGTCTCCTGCTGCCCGAGTCGTGGCCTCGCTCCGCTGTAAATCAGCGGGGCTCGCGATTCCGAACTTGGCTTGCAGTAGCCGGAGCATGGCTACGATCCTGACTCGATGGTCTTGCTGATCCAGAGCCTCATCCACTCCTCCACTCATTTGTACCGACATGATGTTCGACATCGTGAGTCGCTAGAAGCTCATTTCGTTGTCACCCGCCCATCGGGAGATGGAACGGACATATGGTGTCATAATATGTGATCAAAAAGACGACATGATACCATGGGTGATTTTTCATCGTATCGATAACTTCAACGCGCTCCTCCCTTCCGAATATCGGGCCCAGGAGCGTAAGGCATCGAATGGTATGGTGATGTGCTGAGAAATATTACGGGGAAAGCCGTCGGTTCCCCGCGGACAACAAAGTCGGAGGTGTACCACGGAGAAAAAAGACTCCTCCATTCTCTGTCGATAATCTCGAACCTTTTTGGAGGTACGACGATTTTCGTGCGACAGGGTGAGAACTTGCCTCCGTATAAACATCGTGCAGGAAAATTCTTCCTCCTAGTAAGAATTGTTCCATTGTGGAGCTCGCTAGATGACAAGCGAGAACGGGAAACGGGCGCAGCCGCAAGGATCCGCAGTCCAGTCTCTCCCAGCCGTGGCTGCAGCCGAGCTCCCACAGTCCCATACGCTTTCCGGCCCGAATTCGTGGCAGGATTGTCGGTTCGAGCTTCCCCCACAGAATAGGAACGAGGCCCTCGATGAATACCAGTCAGCAGGACCTGCGAGGGAACCGACCGAGCAGTCGGAGCTTCTCCGTAAGATCCGCCCTCCCTCAGAATCGTTTATGATGCTCGTGCGCTAATGATGCGGTCTCGGGCCCGTTGTATATGATCCGATCCTCCTTCAGCCGTCATACGCTCAGCCCCTGAGAACGGAACGGAATGTCGGACTTCGGAGAACGCTGTCATCAGAGCTGTGACGTCACCGCAAATATACAACGATGAGCGGGACCGTGTTGTGGCATTGTTCAACCGGATCCAGGCCAGTTTCGGGTTCGGTCAAGGCTTCTTCTCCCAGGCCGGAGATCCAGTGGAAATCTCTGCTGGGAATCCCTTCTGCGTTTTCAAGGTTCCCAACCTCCCTCAGTAGATTTGAAGTTTTTCGGAGGATCCGATCTTTGGCCTCCCAGCCAGGAGATTCTGATTCTTCCGCTGGGCTCCGGCCGCTTGAAACTCGCAGGAGCCTTCAGCGATGTATCTCAATGCATATGTCCCCAGTCTCATTAGTATTAGATCATATTGTTTTTCAGAGCGTGACTTACAAGAGACTTCGCGTCCACAGTCCGTCGGATGGTTTTGTCTATTTAATTGTGGCTAAGAGCGTCGATACCCTCAGAAACGAATTCCCCCGTCTCATCGAAGATCTTAACCGTACATTGGTGAACAGCCCAACCGAACGAATCATCTGTGAGTCTATGGAGGATCTCGGCGAAAATAGAACGGCAGTGGCGATCTCCGTGATCCGAAGCGGTTTCGATGGCGTTGCGCGTATGCCTCCTAGTAACGAGCTCAGAAATGCGCTCGTACAATCCGATGTTGGAAGGAAACTCGAAAACCTCGGTGTCGTAGCTGTTCAAAGCGCTGAGGAGTTCCGTGAGGTATTCAGGCTTCTGCTGCCAGAAGTTTGGCGCTGACTAGATGAACCTAGCTCGCGGTATTTCTCAGTGCTGCTTTAAAACTCATCGACTCCACCCAGACTTACCCGCCTTGAGGTTTTCAGAAAAATGTTAGAGGGCCGTTCAGAAATCCGCCTCCAGGTTCGAGCAGAATGCTCTGGGAGAAAGCGGAAGCGGAGAATCCGGACCCCGCGAAATATTCTCCTGTGGAAGTCCTCGGACCCAAAGGGCTCCACAGGAGGTTCGCTCTGTTTTCATATAATGGACTTTTGCGAGTTTATCTTATGTGCGCCAGCTCTGGGTATGTCTCTGATCAGAGAAGTCCGAGGGATCTTCAATCGTCCTCCTCGCACGCTCTAGGCTCTCCGAACTAGTACGAGAATTGGACGTCCAGAAACAAGAACTCCGAGAACTTTCGTCAAGTGCGGATATGCTCCAGGGCCGATCCCGTCAGATGCGGGGGATTCTGAAAGCACTTGAGGTCCGTCAAGAATCGATGGGAGATCGCGTTCTCAGAGTTTTATCGCTTTTCGCGGTAGCCGAAGGCCGTGGTCGAGCAATTTCTGCGGAGGAAGAAGTTGTACAGGCATGTTGCTCACTCTCTGATAGAACTCCTGAGAGATTTGAGTCGAGTCTCATATGGAGGTTTTTCCTTCAAGAACTCCATGCAGAGGATACGCGATAGAATCGAACACCTGAGCTCGGACGCGCTCTGTCGTCTCGAGGAGAAGGTGTACAGTGTGCAGAAGGCAGAAGCGATGTTGACGAACGAGAGGAAAGATATGCTCAAGCGTCAAACAGAAAGTGAGCGGACCGGGATCAGTTCTGGATAGGGCCCCGACCAGACCTAGCCTCGGGAGCTCCTCTTGTATTTGAGCAAATACTCTCTGTGAAGTTCCTCTCGGTCCGAAAGATTGAGCCGAAAAACCATTCCAGGAATGGGGGAGACGGCAGAGGAGCTCAAGAACAACCTCGAGGCGATGAAGAAAATCGAAAGGCAGGTTGCTAGCAGAAGACTTGGAATACCCGACACGGATCACATAGCGATTTTCCGTAACCATGAAGGGATGGAATCCCGGGGCTGGGATCGGTGTCGGAGTAGAACCTGAGGCCAGCGGAGCTTCGAATTCCAAGAGATGGATTTTTTCTCCCTGGAGACTGCTCCCGCGGAGAGACATCGGGGGAAGGAAGAACCATCTGTTCATATGACCGTAAACCCTGGTGAGGGACAGAGAGGTATAGAAATGAACGACCTCTGAAGGGTGTTTATTGAAGAGCTCAATCGAGATCGACCTCGATATCTCATTCCGAGATGACTTCACCTAGCGTTGGCCTTAGAGTGTGTAATTCGCTGTGTGAGACCAGCGATGTTGCGTTCCTCCGGAGTCTCCTGGGCTCCCGACAGAGTCTATTCTACATTTTCCGACGTTCTCCATCAGGAATCCCATCCGGGATTCGAGGCACAAGCATGCTGGTCTTAGTCTAGATCGATGCAGTTCGTCTTCGGGAAACGTCCTCAATAGCATCATCGTGAAGGCATCCGAAACTTCAAAGTTTTGCTCTTTGCCGCGGCCCCACTCGAATCATGAGCTAGGGAAGGGCCGCAGCTTTACAACGACAACCAATGAAAGCGCGACGCTGCGGCTCAGAGGACCAACCATCGCCCCGAGACGGCAGAAGCAGCGCGATTCTTAGAACATCATGGAAACACTGGGTTTATTTTTAAAAATATGCTATCACCCCCGAAGGGACTTGGAACGCCTTTGCTCAGCGAACTCCTGCGCTTGAATCCGCAGAAACATCTCAGGTGTTCCAAAGAGACTCTCAATGAACAGATTATATACATAAGCATATCGATGCTCCCTAAGTTCGGGGAATTTCAAACCTCAGGATGAGCTAGGGCTTTCTCAATTTCATCAAGTTTCCTCGAATCATCTTGTAGAAGCATGATCAGAGTGAGCAGACCTGTGGAGAACGAAACCTCTCTCAGGCTCAGTTTTGTGAGAATAGGAGTTAAGGGAGACGGATTATCCTCCGGAATGGGGATACTCGGCTACGACATACCTTTCTGTATCTCTTGCACCAGTTTCAGCATGTCCTCAGATAATGGTTCTTCAGCTTGCGTAGATCCATTTGTTTCCGATTTCGGCGCAGATTTCACAGCCACTTGCAACTCGTTCAGTTTTCCAGTGCTCAGAATTTCGATTTCTCGGAGGATTTCTTCCAGCGAAGCCTGACAAACATATGGGTCCGTAACATTTTGTTCGTTAGCCATTTCTATTAGAATAATTTCCCTTCAAGGAGTTTCCTCTTCCTCGGCCACCCGAGTTACCTTCAGTGTTTCTTCCTCGCTCTGGATACCGAAACCCATTTTCCGGTTGACTTCGAACGCGGCGATGACCTTCAGAATGCGATGAGCTATATTGTACTGCTTCTCGCGAAGTTCTTCCACCCGGCATCTGGAGGATTCGCACTTCTTCTCGAGTTCCGCCGCCTCCTCTGCCATTTTTTCCAGTCGAGCTTTCTGACGTTCCTGGTAGTCGCACTGGAATTTCATTCTGGGGAGCAAAAAAAAATATTCAAGGAATTTCCTCAGTCCAACCGTCGGGAGGCGGATCCAGACGGAGCGCAGAATTTGATTTAGAGAACCAAGTGACATGGTAGCAGGAGAGCCTATGTTCGAGCAGGCTTCTATTCTTCGGAACGAACCTCCGGCTCAAGTCCTCGAAGCCAATCAGGGGAACGGGAATCAGCTTGGAGGGGTCCGGGTTGTCCGCTTTGGCTTGCTCCCACAACAAGGCGTCGATGCCCGGAGGCGGATTCGCTAGGTACTGTTCTACAGCATTCTGGATGAGGGAGATATGAGATGGTCTCTATGAGAACACAGGCGAGGAACTTCTTGTCCCAATCAGGTATCATACCCGAATGAAATCATATGCGAAGGTCATTGCCGATTACCTTGCTAATCTCTGTCATCTCGGTCATATTAACAACCCCCAAATTGGCGAGAGCAGCTTTGCAGCTGGCCTGCTCGAAAGCATTCATGAGCTCTCCGGATGTGAATTTTTTCCCCGTTCCTGTGGGACTCTTCTCGTAGACGTATACCACGACCTGGGTTTGATTATTGCCCATATCGTTGATCGAATCGAGGAAAACCGAGATATTTTGTGACTTGATTACGTCACGATGCAGCGCTTCCGTGAACGAAGGCGAAGCGCCCGTGACCTCTTCGACTCGTTTGTTGATCAGCAGACAAACCAGACCTTCCTCCGGCCGGTAGGTGGGCAGAGCGTTGTAACCGATTGTCTGGGGGCAGAAAAGATTTTTCTGCGTTTAGAGAAGGATCGGAAGCGCCGATGAAGAAAATGTTCAGCAGATTGATTTCGGTAGAAGAGACTTCGAATCAATCCGAGGCATATCGGCTCGGAGATCGCTACGAGCCGATGTTCTCACCCTAAATTTACAGAACGGGTTGTCGGGGGTGAAGTTGACCGGAGGTCCAGACTGTGAGTGGAAACCTTTTCCCCTTCCCCATTTCGCCTGGAGTTGGTTGAAAGTTGCGATAATTTTATCGCGCTCATCGTTGTAGATCATCGGCACGGTTACGGCGGTAGCTATTAGCGTGACATCTTGGAGAGCCTGCTGTGATTGCTGTTGAGCTCCTCCGATCGCAGCTGGAATCCAAGCGAGACGTTTGAGCTCGAATCGCGGTGTCTATTTCGATTCGATTCCTCAGACAGCGATTTTCGGATCTCTTTCCCGATCTCCGAGCGTCTTCGACCTACCTGTGGGTGCACTGGCCCCGCCGAAAGAGAACGAAGTCGCAGGTTTATTCGTGAACGAGAACTGGGAGCCGAAGCCGCTCCCGAAGCCGGTAGTTCCTGTCGTGCCGAAACCCGAGCCCGTCGTGCCGAATCCTGCGCCGAAACTCGAGCCGGTATTACCAAAGGTGCTGCTGGTTCCGGTCGCAGGGGCTCCGAACCCTGTATTCGCGGTAGTGCTTGTCAGGTTGAAGGCAGTGGCACCGAAACCGGTCGTCCCGGTTGTCCCGAATCCGGTGCTCCCTGTCGTCCCGAAACCGGTCGTTCCTGTCGCACCGAATCCGCTTGCTCCCGTCGCACCGAAACCGGTAGTTCCCGTTGCGCCGAAACCGGTTGTCCCTGTCGCACCGAAACCTGTGGTCCCTCCAGGTTTGAAGGCGGTGTTCCCGGGCGTCCCGAAGGCACTTGTCCCTGTGGTCCCGAATCCTGACGTGCCGAAACCGGTACTCCCTTGCGTACCGAAACCACCGGCCGAAGGTGTACCGAACGATGTGGATGTCGCGGCGCCGAAGCCTGTCGCTGCAGGTGTACCAAAAGTAGCTGATGCACCGCCGGTCGGCGTCCCGAACGTGGTGTTTCCTCCTGGAGTCGCCGAGCTACCGAAACCCGGAGTCCCGAAACCGGCGGAAGCCGTGCCAGCATTCGTTCCGAAGCCAGGAGTACCGAATCCGGAAGTGCCTGCGCTGGGTGCGGCACCGAATGTCGTGTTGCCAAAGCCGGTTGACCCCTGCGCACCGAAAGCGCTCGTGCCTGTATGGGATCGAAACTTTCGTCAGGAACACGAAACGAATATCACGCATGAGGTTTTCCCCGTCGCATTCGAATCGAGGTCTGAAACCCTCGGGTGTCGGACTCGCTCATTGATCTCAGTTGAAAAGACTTCGAAGCGAGCTGAACGCTCGCAGATCATACAATGGGTATTGGTTAAATGGTATGGGACTTCGATCGCTCGAATGGAACTCACCGGGGGCATTGTTGTTCGCAGTGCTGCCGAACATCTCGAGGGACCCCGCAGTGTTGAATTAGAAGTTTATCCCCGAAGCGGCGACTCTCGCTGCGATTTATATGATGTGCACGTTGGACATTCGGGTGATTTCTATCACGCTCCTACGAGACACTAAAAGTTGTCAGAGGAATTCTACAAATTATCGTCGAGGAGCCGGCGCGGATCGTGTTTTGATGTGGTCGCGGGCGGGCGGGAAATGATGTGAGGCGAGGAGCAATGTACACAGAGAGTAAGTCTGGCGGGACTTTCGAAATTCAGCTCCGGAAAAAATTTCAACGCCGGAGTGTCGGGGGACTGGGAGGGAAGTCTCGACAATGCTTCGGTGACCGGACTGCGGACGACAGGTCCTGGTTTTTGATCGAAAAAATTGAGCAGATCGGGTACATCATACGAGTTGGCCGTCGAGAACTGTGAGATCTCGAGCCTCGAGCGCGGAGTCCGCCCCAATAGGATTCTCGGATTCTCGATGGACAGAAAGAGAGAGTACGGAGAGCATGGGGTCCCTCGAGGAGGAATGTATGTCAGGAGGTGCGGTTCAGAAAATGTTTGCTGTTCAATGGAGACTCCCGATCCTGTGAAAAAGGATAGGAGTGGCGTCCCGAGATGAGACCTGTGTCTGGAGAGAGTGAAGAGGTAGACGGAGACAGAGACCATCAGCATCATTGTCTCCGTCTACCACACCACGACGTTCGAAATCCAATATTGCTCGCTGATCGAGAACGTCCGGCTCCATTTTCAGGAGTTCGCTCGCCGAGTGAAAAAGTTCCGATCGAAGTCGGGGGTGTTATCCAGCTAGCGTTGAGATACTTCGATCGAGATCGGAGATGGCTCCGAGGGACAAGACTGACATCAAGGCAAACGAAGTTCTGCAGGCCGTGGTCCTTGCGGAAACTTTCAGCCCAAAGTTCCAGCCTCTGACCGAAATGATGCCTTTCGTGAGTACACTACTAGTTCCTCCGCTCGTCCGAAATCTGCAAACGTGCTATTTTCCGGTATCCCCGCGCCGAGGAAAAGCAGCGGGGAGGGCGTCAGTCGCTCACCTCGTAGAGAATCTGATGTAATATCGCCATATGTCTTATGCACCGGCCTCCTTTCTCGGCCATTGATTTTCTACAAATCCCTGAACGACGACCGCTTATGTGATTTCAGGCATTGCTGCCGTTGTTGGGGAGGCCATTGCTCGACTACAATCTGGATTTGCTGTATTCCAATGGATTCCAAGAGGTTTACGTATTCTGTCACAGTCGGAACGCCGACCGTGTCAAGGAGTTCGTCAGGTGAGTGCCCTGTGGAAGTAGCGACTTCCACGACAGAGCCGGCGAGGTCTCGTCCGATTTCTCGAATCGAATCGCTAGCTCAGTTTCCTGGAAACTCAATGATGACGGTGCGTCTTCGCAGGACTTCCAAATGGTCGTCGTTTCCGCCGACTCGGTTCGTGGTGAACGTGATCTCCGCTGAGAACTACGTCGCTCCGGGCGACATGATCCGAGACCTCGACGGAAAGGCTTACATCCGAGAGAATTTCCTCCTTATCGAAGCCGGAGTGATAACAAACACGGACTTGAGACAGCTGATGGAGGTGAGTCATTGCTGATCGTCATGACTTGTCTGCGGCGCCGGCGGAGCGTCTCTGCGCAAGGGTCTGAGAGCCGTAATCGCTTGGTATAGAAACTCGATCCTCGAATTTTAGCGTTCAACTTTCATCTCACAGGCTCACAAAAACAATCAAGTAATTTCCAACGACAAGAACCTCATGACGATCACCGTGAGGAAAATGGCGCCGGATCACCTCACCAGGTCTCCTGATGAGCACTTCGCTCTAGTACTCGACCCCTCTTGTAAAATTCTCTATGCACATTTCAACGAGCATCTCAACAAAAATATGAGCATCCCTCTAAAGGTGAGCATAATTCCCCAAAGACATTCCTCGAGATGAAACCCGGGCAAGCGGAATGTTTCTGAATTGGAATTCTTTCCAGTACCTCGCAAACGGACGTGTGTCTATACGAGCAGATTTGGCGCAGACCAAATTGGTGTTCTGCAGTAAGCACGTGCCGGCCATATTTTCCGACAACTTCGATTATCAACACACGAACGATTTCGTCAAAGGTGATAGCTTCGATCTCGTGTTATTCATCTGACTCAGGGTCTGGACTTCCTCCCCGCCCGTCCTCAGCTTCGATTTTAACGAAGAGAACTCCCTAAAGAACTTCTCCGCTTCTTCAACGCAGGCATAATTGAGCATGAGGATATCATGGGAAACTCCATATACATTCATGAAGTGACAGAGTCGTACGCTGCTTGTATCACAAATATGACGCTGTACAGCAGAATAGCCATCGACGTCGCCAAAAGATGGGTATGTCGAAGCTCTCCTTCTCGATAATTTATTTATACCTCTTATCGTGTAAAGCGATCCACTCTATTCCACCGGTTGTGTGGATATTGATCGCCGACGTGGGCGTAGGCATCTCCTTTCTTGGGCATTTGGTCATGTGATCCCCGTGAGAACCCGCGAACGGGGTACTCCTGGAATTCGATTCTAACGCGGTCTCACCCAATTCCAGACCTATCCGTACACAATAGACATGTACATCCGGGATTGCCATCCGCAGCGCGGGGGGTATTACGTATCGTCAGCCGGCCGGATCCACCCTTCGGCCCATGTGGGTCAGTTTTCGGTGGTCCTCGGTCAGGTGGCCGACGGCGCTCGAATCACAAAGTCTTTTGTGGGGGAAGGCTCATCAGTTGGAAAAAACGTCTGCTTGGACGAAGTCACCCTGGGCAAGAATGTCAGGATCGAGGAAGGATGCAAGTTGACCAAATGTTTCGTTGCGGACGACTGCGTAGTTTTCAAAGGTGAGACTTCACTTCGACCATGAGCGAGGAGCAAAATCCTATGCTTGCCGACTCCATGACTTCGTGGTCGCGGAATCCCGGATTCTCGTTGATTCATTGGCTGTCCGTGGGACACGAATGTGTTCGGGGAGAGAATTAAGTAGATCGTGTCATGAATACGCAACCGATGAGGTGTCCAATCGATATGGTTTCGCCGCGCAATCTTCGGACTGCTCACGGTGTCCGACGCACAGTATTGGTAAGCTGAAACGCGATCCCATTCATTGCAGATTCCACTCTCTTGGCTGGCTGTATCCTCAGTCCCGGTGTCAAAGTCGGGCCCAACGTCGATCTCAAGCAGCTACGTCTGCAGAGTGTACCTCTGGAGGACGGTCTCAGCGGCGATGTTGTCGACGGTGTGCCGGACGCTGCGAAGTTTGGGAAGAGCTGTCTCGCGTTCGAATACACAGAGGACGAAGACTCTGACGGGGACAGCGACGAGAGCGACGATTTGGTTCTCATCGAAGAGAGGTGGGGAACCGAAGACGGAAAGCTGAGTGACGGCTTCTGTTCTCAGGAAGAGGACAATGACGATGACGAAGACGACAACGACGATGACGTACTCGACGGGGGTGAGTCACCGCTCTTGAGTTCCCCCACTGATATTTCTCCACGTAGTTCGAAGGGAGTCGCATCACCACGATATTTCCATTCGAGAAGTCGAAAAATCCGCTTTCTCATACAAAACTCCGATCCAGGTGACGTACATGAAGGCCTGGACGACACGGACCTGTTCTTCAAGGAGGTTGTGGAGAGCCTCCAGCGAGGAATCGAGGAGAACATCAAACCCGCGAATCTCATCCTGGAGATAAACTCTTCGAAACACGCGTACAATGTCACAATAACGGACGTGATCGAGCTGACGACCCGAGCTCTGCTGACCATTTGCGTTGGGGAAAAGGTAGGAACTCGTGTGGAATCTAAGAAGCATGGCAGAAATTCCGTCTCGTCGGCTGCGTAAATGCTGTTCACGATTTTTTTTTCGAGAGGCATGAAGCTGCGATGCTACGGAGGGAGCAAGTTTATCAACCCGTTTCCGCCGTCATATTACAGGAGAAGACCGGGGCGCAGTTCATGGCCGTATTCAGGAAGGGCTCCACGCAAATCTACGGTATCCTGAAAAACTACATGAAAAAAGAAGATTCCCAGAGGGTTTGCGTGGAAGAAATCGGTCGATTCTACACGAGCTTGAGAGCGAACTGCGACGAGTCTCTCATAAAAACCATCCAGAATGTCCTCAACTTCCTCTATCAGCGCGACGTGATCAGCGAGGACGTTGTCCTGGAGTGGTTCGAAGATTACGAGGATAAAGAAACCGCTGCGCATCTCAAACAATTCATCGAGTGGTTGCAGCAAGACAGTAGTGAAGAGGGAGATACGGACGATTCGTCCGAGAATGACGATGGTGACGAGGAAAGCAATTGAGATTATGTTCTGTTTCTGTAAATAGTCGTTGTTGTTCATATGTGGAGCCGATGCGCTATGATAAAAGGAAATAATAAGATTGAGATTACCTTACACTAGCGATAAATAATTAATAATCACCTAACCTGATCAGAGTCTCCGGGAGGAGCCAGACGTGTTTCGATTTTCTTTCTGTGTCTCTGGGTCCTCGGAACGAAATATCCACCTTATCCAACAACTGAGTTTATTAGAAAAAACAATTTCTCGCTCCACCAACAACGTCTGTGACAGATTTCATCCATCCTAGGCCTCGGGTTCATCGGTCTCGCTGGGCTGGGGAGCTTTGTGGCGATTTTCATGCGGCGAGGGTGGGGTGGAATAGGAATTCCGGCTCGAAGGCAGCGAATCGGGTCCCGTCATAACACTGTTTGTTCCACCTGCAAGGCACAGCTCTGTCAGTCCTGGCTGTCGATCGGCCCAGCTCCCTGTCCCGCTTCGCCGCCCACAAGTTCACTCTAAACCCTCAAGGACTCATTCAGAAATATTCATCAACTCAGCCTCGCCGTTCGATGGCCTCGATCTCACTCATGGACCGTGGGCCAGGAACGATTCTCCAGAACGATAACGATTGTGTCAATCAATCACCCAATGAACTCGAAGTTTTGATCAAACGGAGGAACCGACGCACGCACGCATTCTAAGAGAAGAAATCAAAGAGCAGTCGTTTCAGGAAGAGCGGTTTGTTCCCAAGAATCTACCAACCAGTACCGCTCGGCTGAGTCTCTGTGATCTGCTTGAGCCTCATCCAGATATCGAGCATGGACGACGTGGGGGTCGATGGCCCCGATGAGGAAACAAAAGACGGAGGCCCTGACCACACCCACGAGCTCGACGGCGAGCAAACCGGGAGATTCTCCTTAGTTAATTTCTGCTGCGAGGATCCTGCCTGTTGAGACGACAACAAAATCGTCCTATACGTGCTGGAGGTCACCTGCAAGAAGACGGCTCTCGATCTGGACGATTTCAGCCTCTTCTACAGGACAGACACCAGGCACATGGTCATGCATTTATACCGGGATCATGAAATACACTACGCCAACGACGACAACAACAACGAAAACTACTGTATCACGTTCTGACGGAATTTCCGGACACGCACCTTTGAGAGGAACATATCCAGCTGGTACAGGCTGAGCGCGTTGTGCAACGTCTCTAGGGGGCGGATTGTCGGGACTCGCAGAGGTCCCTCGCAGGGAACCATGTAGCGGAGGTCCGGAGCCGAGTTCGAACCCGAGATCACCGCGGTACTGAACAGGTTGCCGAAGGCTCCTTCGAGCGTTCTGGAGCGAGATGAACTCCGTTTGAAGGCGCTCAGAAGAGCCGAAGGCGATGCATAGTTGGTCTGAGGGGGGACGGCCACCGTCTGGCTCGGACGGTTACCCCCGGTCCCGGTGGCCGACTTCGAAGCGGCTGCTGCTGCCATCATCATCATTGGCAGGTAACCGCTCACGGTATGGTAGGGATTGTAGGCGGGGTAGTCCTTCATGTTCTCGTCGATTTCTCGAACCACCTCCGGAGATGGCGGCGAGAGGCATCTACAGCAGCAAACGAGGGGTGGAATACAATTTGCGTTAGTTGGAGAACTAGTGGTTCTTAGTAGACGGCGTGGCGGGAGAGGTGGAGGGGGTGGGGGAACGCCCTCGCCGCTGTGGTGGGAGGAAGCACAAGGAAAGAGGCGTCAGAAAAGATGGATACAGAGACGGACACAGATAGAGTCGACAGAGAGGAGAAAGAGACAAATAGTTCCAAAGTGGAGTTTGATGAGTTAATTCGGGGGGAATCGCGCGGACGACATTCGAGGGCGAATTTCTCTTCCCTGATCGATGACCTCGCTCAAAATAATTCATTGATGATAATAATGAAAATGACGTTTCGATATTCCGGGACAGGGTCGACCGCTGAACAACAAGAGATTTGGATCGTGGGACTACGGGAGCGCGAAATAGACGAAACGAAATTGACCAACCTGCGTGGGCTTGCGGCGGTCAGAGTAGCGTTGGAATCATGTTTCGTATCCGTTGTCGCTCCATTGACGGCGAGGTTAACCTGCGATCCTTCAGGCGAAGGCGAATCGCCGTTAATCGGCGACGAAGATCTCTCCGATTGACTCTGAGGCCGGAAGCCGGGCCCCGGTGGCGGATTTTTCTGCACGCAGCACATGGCCCCTGGAATGTCAAGTGTCAGCTGTTCGCTCGGAGCAATCACGTTAATCAGCAAATCAGTGTTTTGGGCCGTCAGAGTAGTTCCCGAGAAGGTATTCCGCAGTAGGTACCTGGTGAGAAGTGAAGCTCAACATGGAAGCGCTCCTCTGACAGAACATCCTTCGTTTCGTCTTCGTACAGCATGATGATGATTTGAGTCATATAATTCAGCTCGGTCACTTCCGAAATGTAATCGAGAGCTCTCCTCCACTGCTCGTCTTTCGACGAATCTAACAAACCGCCGTACCGCAACACTGTGAGAAGACTGTGGATATGCGACTCGGACGTGAAGTACAGTCTGAAAGAAGATCTCCGGTCAGAGTTCCTTCTGAAGTCGAAGTCAAGTACACCATGGGTCAGGGAGGAGCTCCAACAACGCTCACCGAGTTCTGACGTGACGTCCCGGCGAGGATACTCCATGCGAATACTGAGGATTGAGTCGATTTTCCGACTCTGGTGTTGGATTGTCCTGACCCTCGCCAACGAGATCCGTGTTGCGGTGGAGGTCCGCACGGATCTTTTTTAGTAAAGGAGCGCAGACTCCGAGACCAATGGACAGCTTCTCTTGCCGAGTGATTCCGTATTCTTGCGGAATCACGATATCTGGTGGAGGAGAACGCGAGTCAATGATCCTGAGCGTCTGAATACGCACTTCTCTCGAGGATGCTCAACGTTCACGTATATGTAGGTGTTCCTTACCCGCGAGGGCTTTGGCGTAATTGTAGAGCTCCTCGGCCTGCTCAAACTGCATGGTATGTTGATTGTGTTGCAGATCGTACTTTATACAATCGTATACATCGGGGATTTTCGAAATATCAAACTTGTCCGGTTTGATTTTGAAATCTTTCTCCAGCTTGGCCCAACGACGCTGCATCAAATCCCAAGACTCGCCATGGTAGAGTGTTCCTGGAATTCATGATCTCTTTGACGAAGGAAGCTCGATCGAAAGAAGCCCGACACCTTCGGAGAGTAGTCAAATGGAGCCATTCGCCATATATGGAGACTCGAGACTCGAGGCCGGTAGAGTTCAGAGAAAAGTTATTCCGAGTCGCACCTATACCTTTGTCTTCGTCTTTCTTCTTCTTGATCAGAGTCGTCAATTGTTGAATGAGATCAAATACGTGGATGCACGCCCGGAGAGGATTTTTTATGAATTTCATAGCCAAATCTATGCTCTTCGCGTTTGTGGGATTCAGTTTCTCGTAATCCTCCTCGGTGAAAACTCGATCCACTTGCATGGTGTCGTGCAATCGTTGCTTCACCATGTTCTGCAAGACAGAGACGCATACTTGACTGTCAGATACCCGAAAAGATCCAAAGCTGATCGATTTCCCCATTTTCCGAAACATCCGAGACTCAAGATGTCTACCTGGAATTTTCCGGCGTCACAATCGTTGTCCAGAAGGCCGTTCGTGTTTGCGCTCTTCACCATTTGTACCAAGATCGGCGTGAGTTCGCCTTCGAGCGCTAGCAAGCCTTTGGCAAACGCAGCCGCCGTCATCGAGACCCGGCCCTCGTCAGAGGCGTATATTTTGAGATCGTGCCGGAACGTCGAATGAAGCCTGAGCAATCCAAGGCCCTGACTTCCCGAATAATCGCCACCTCCACCGGGATACATGCAACGGAAGACTCTCCCCAGATCTTCCGCTTGCACTCTCCCCGCAGGTGTCAGTTCGCCGCCCCATTTCAGTATCAGGACCAACGATGGCTGCCGAGGAGTTTCATTGTCATCGGAGCTAGAGTTCCGTGGTCTTCCTTTAGGTTGGTATTTGAGCTGAACTTTGCGGTTGATCCCGGAGAAGTGGCCGTACATTTCCAAAACCGACTTCAACTGCTCCAATTTCGAACGGTTTTCTTCTACCTCGCTGTCGTAATCCTGGGGGAGAGAAGCGGAAATTGCGGTAGGGAGAGAATGAAGGTCAGAAGTATGGGGAGGAGTCGGGAGGAGTATAGTCCTGATAGAGAATCGTCGGGAGAAGCCGAATAATTTTTTACCTTGTGAGCGAGAAGTTCTCGGGCGATATCGAGAATCTCCTGTAGCTGTTTGGGCTTTTTCAGTTTTATGTGCCCATCTTTGTAGCCGCCAAGCTTCTTGAACAGTTGGAAAAATTTGTGATTCTTCACTTCCATCTTCATCTTCTGCTTCGGAGTCCGATCCCCATGCCGAATAACACCGATTACGCAGCGCAACTCCATCATTTTGCCGAATGTGGTCGGAACTATCGGGGGATCATCCAATTGGAAAGGCATCGACCAAGGAATGTGTAGCTGGGGCGCGAGTTCGCGCAAGATCATATTCCCTGCAAAGCCCCAGATAACGGCTCAGTTCTCCGAGAGAGAGAGAGAGAGAGAGAGAGAGAGAATCGGCCCGGAGGCGCGTCCGTTCCCAATGCGGTCTGCGCGTATCTGTAGGTGATACGCCGCATTTTCCATGAGGTTTCCGCGATCTTCCTCCTCGCTCACCATCCATGCATTGAATAGAACCTACTGATCCTCGGCTGAACCAAAGGCATCGTAAGTCAGGCCATTCGTCATCGACAAAATAATGCTCACCTAGAATTTTGGAACAATCATCATAATACTTCATGGAGTTCTTAACGAAAGAGAACCCATTCACATCGCAAACGTAAGATTTTCCGTTTGCCCGGAGGAGGTCGAATCCGCACACGGTCTGTTTGAAGGCCAAGCACACCTGCACGAGAGATCAAGTTGATCAGCATCATTTCTTGCGTTACAATTTTGACTTTGACCAAGACACCAAGAAGAGCGTAAGGAACGGGGTTAGCTGTACGGGTTGATACCACGGGTGAGAGTTTGGGGACCCACCTTTCTCGCGATGAGTTTTTCCTCGTTGGTCAGAATGACGGGATAGCGGACTTCTTTGCCTTCCTTGTCCCGCTCGACCTTGCCGTCGAGTGCGGGACTTTTGCGAGCTTCCGCGTGAGCGTAGTCCGGTCCAACAGTGTAAACTTTGACATCTGTGCCGTCGGTAGGCATGAATTCCTCGTAGATGAAAGAGCCTGCGGACACGGAGAACAAGCGGAGGACGGAAGTTAGCGTCGGACGGTTCCGGCCTCAGCGAATCTGATTCGATCCAACCACTACCAGCCGATTCCCCGGGTGTGCGATGGCGTCAAGTTCGGAGGAAGAGAAGGGCAGCAAGAGCAGCATAACTGACAGACGAGCCGTCCCCACACGAGAACTCCACAACGTACCCTTACGAACTTTTTCAGTAGGTACTGCAAAACCCCACCAGTTGCCGACAAAACGCAATAAGTGGCCAAGCCAGGAGCAATCTGGATAACAATATTCGACATTTATCTCAAGCAAGTCACGAAAATGGACCGAACGATACGAGGGACCGTAGGAGGGAATTTGGCGCGGCGCAAAACGTGGAATCTGACAGCGCAATATGGGACCCGCCGCCCGTTCTCGATGCTCGGGGCGGCCTCAATCGCAGAAAACCGGGAAATCCACTCCCGTCGCAGGAGCACAACGCGTGCAAAGGCATGAGGTTACAAAGGATCGCCCGGACTCGCCCCCTCACTTCACGAAGCCCTCATCTCGAACTGGCGAGCAAAGAATTCGCGCCTCGACCCCGATTTCCCTTAGGAATTACGGCAAGGGAGGTCACCTGTTTTTCGAACGTGACTCTCCGGAGAGTAAACGCTGGACCTGCTTCCGATTTTCCTGAATAATCGCTGAGATCCACCGCCAGCGGAGGTCGGATAGTAGATGTAGATGTTGTGGTCTTCCGCAGAGACGGGTTTCTCGACGAATGGCTTATTGAACACCACTCCCGCCACCTCGACATGATCCTCGGATTCGACAATGTCGCCGTCTGCTGGAGGAACGCGAAAAATGACTCTTGCGAGATGGAGATAAAGATGATGGTATAAAACCGACTATGATCAATGAATTATTTTGAGAGGATATTCGCCGACGCATACCTTCATATTCGCGGTTGAGCACGGCGTACCGGGGCAGCTCTATTCTTGCATCCTCAAGAATTTTATACACTCGCCTTCGGTCTTGAATGTCGTATTGGAAGTAGAGATCATTGATCGTGAACGGGTTCCGGAGCTGGGCGTACTTGATCGCTTTGGATAGGGGGAAGCCTGAAAAACGACTCGAATGTCTCTATCCAAATTCAACGTGATTAGCGTCAGTGTGTCGGGTTAGGCTCTAAGCAACATGCTACGGTCGGTTCGCGAGAGATCGGCGGAATTACAGGAATTTATGATCGAGAGTCAAGTTCGAATTCGAATACTCGGATTCCCATATCGCTCCAATGAAGAATGCGCACTCAATAAGAAGGCTGAAGAGCTTTACAGAATCTTGAAATCTGCTCCATCCTACATCTGGTTTTTCTCCTCCAATCAACAAGCATAATATCGTACTGAGAGAGCTGCATTTCAGGGTGGGGATTTTCGCTCTTCGCCGACCTCCATGAGCGAAATCGCAAGCGACAGCCCGAGCGACGGTCCTTTCAAGTTCGAGGACGACCTCCGTACTACGATCCCCTTTTCTTCACGAGAGATCACTCCTCAACTACTCTCAACTATCCACTATTCTCAACTGTTCTCCATCATTCCTCTAGCGGTCCACTCACATCCGTCGGCGAGAGAACGCTCCGATCGCATAGGCATTCGAAAGATCAATGATTACAAACCAAGGCAAGTCGGTTAGTTGCTCGCGAATCAGTCGGCAATCAGGAGATTCCGATGCAGAAAGTCTAGCATTCCATTAGGACCTCCCTTTTGCAATGAGTTGTTGGAGCAGTTAGTGGCTTTTACTTCGGACGGTCTCTGGGCCATCGCTTGAATCGCTTACCAGACTGACCTTTCGAGTGGAAGGAGATGAGACAATCACAGATGGGCCACTCGTCTACAGGTTGGTTCAGGATGACATCTTCATCAAAAACTTTTGTTTCGATGTATTCAAACTCGTTGAGTCGCGTGAGGATCTCACGCATCGGCTTCGATTGCGATTTCTTTGCCATTGCGCAAATGCCGACGATGACACGTTTCCCACAGTCTTCCTCGGTCTGCTAGAGTAAGGAGGGAAAATATCAAGCAGGGTCCGTCGTAGTCGCCCCGGGAACACGAGGAGAGGCGATCAAAGTTAAAAACTCGACGGCGGATGGAGTCGCTCACCATGGCTGTGGTGTCGGCCATGCCCAGGGGCCATTGCAGATTTCTGCCCAGAGGCATCGGGTCGCCCTGATCCGTGTTAGCTTGGACTTGAGGTGGACTGAGCGAGAAGATGTTGAAACCCCGACGTCATAACCAGTCGAGGTAAGCTATGGATGGTGCGGACCGGGTGACCGAAGGCGTTTCGGGAGGCGTTTGAGACATTCAGCTGGAATATGCGAGAGTACATAGCAAGTCAGTCATAAATTAAGTGATTCGAGCTCGCAGACTGACAAACACTCCGTCCTCGCGGAGGTCAGCTAATACGTCGGGCACGAGCAGCTCACTCAGTCAGCTCTCGTATTTATTTATAGCAGAACGTGATGAACTTCCTCCGCAAACAGCGAATTCTCCATCACTGCACACAGATTTCAACCCTCTCTAGTCTCAAGCTCTTTCTCGAAGATCTCACTCAGAGCCCTCAGTTCGCTTGATGTCTCATCGAACACTCCGTTGGTCCGAATCTCGGACTCATTGACGGTCTCGACTAAATCTTCAGGTCGCTGTGAGGGTCCCACATGCTCGTTGGTGGATGAGCTGAAAAACTGAACCTCTCTACTCGGTCCCCCGTACGGCCGGGGAACCCTGCGGAGCGGCCGCTTCTCCGGCCGCTTTTTCGGCCTCGAGCGCGTCAATCACCGATTGTCGAGGGAAGCTCGAATATCAGACGCTCGGGACTCGTCGCTACGAGGCTGTCCACTGCCAGGTCCACACTAGAACTTAAAATTCTCTCCACCCTTGTGTTTGGCCGAGGATTCGAACTACGACGTACATGTTCACCACGGAGATCCCGGCATGGGTCTCGTGACTCGTGACCCGAATAAACATCTGCGAAAATCCAGATCTACGGAAGAACGCCTTCCCTTTCCAAGCCATCGGAATCTTCGATATTTCCTCTCTTCGCTGGAAAACCGAACGACCGTCGAGCGCTTCCGCGTCGCGACCTGCAGAGCTCTGATTCCCACAGCATTTCGATAGCTTCCAGCACCGTGGAGGATCCGGAAAGCCTCTTTACCCTAGAGAACACCCGCCCACAGAAGCTGAGGCTCGAGAAGAGTTTTACCGTCTGGAGCGCGCATTTGCAGTGAGGATGACGCCGGCCTCACGTCGGAATCTCGTAGTCGCTTGAACGATCGTGTTGCGTCATGTTCCGCGGTCTCAAGAGAGCTCAAGAGCGCGCTCTACTTCCATAAACCGCAAAACCAAGGTCAGGCCGCCCGCTCGCCGACTCCGTGAAAGACTCTACTTGTCTCACTCAGGCACTGCAGCACCAGACGGCACATCCATCGGCACAGATGGTCGAATTGAAACAATAGAACCGAGACCGCGACGAAACGCTTAGAAGCGGGCATCGGGTTACCATTCGTGGTTCCAGATTCAGCAGCAGGATTGCATTTCGGGCCCAGGCTAGGTTTCACTTCAAAGGCTCCGCGCCGACAGATTGTGAGAAGTCTCGAAGGAAGTTCTCGGAAGAGCAGTGTCTCTCCCAACTCTCCGGGATCTCAGCGCGTTTTCCAGAGTAGAGTAGAGTTCAGTCTCTCTCGCGAAAATTATGCTCGATGAACGGTGAGGGAGGCTCATATTCATTCATCTCAGCATCGAACACTCGAAGAAAACACAGAATTCGAAATCATATCATGTCGCTATCAGAGCTTTTCAGCGTGGATGAGCCGATTCTCCACTGGGTGATAGGTCGTTCAACTCACCACTTGGGCTTTGAGATTTCAGTTACGACAGAAAGAGTTGTGGCCGTAGGCTTTTTGCTTCCGCAGTGTGGCTCCGGCGCAGCTGATATGTGTCTCTCGGTGAAGGAGAGTACCGAGTTTTGGGTGAGGAGCTGCGCGAAATTCGAATCGTTGGCGGGAATTCCCCGATCAGAACGAGTCACTCTCAGGAGAAGCCCGTCGAGGAGACCACAGAATGAGGGACGTGAATGTCATTCGCATTCGCACATCAGCCGAGGGCAAACTCCTTGTCAACAACATCTCTGACAGAAACGGGAAATCGAGGAGCGGACCCCCTCATCGGCTCCCTACGACAAATCACGCTCCGGGTCGAGCCTCAGCCGTCGAGCGAGGGTCAGTCGATGCATCCCCCTGAAGGAGCTCGAATCCGCTGAGCGACTCCCGTAATCCTCGAAACATTGGAAAGACGGAAACACAGCGTGGTACGAGGATTTACGATGCCAATGAAAACGTGCTCTGAACTTTTTATCACAGAATCTTTATTCGCATTGGCTCTCACGGGAAGAAAAATTCAGAATCGAACCCAAAAGTTACTCCAGCAACTCGCTGGAGGTTCGTCGACAAAATGTACAGCTCTTTAAAATTATATTTACACCTACGTTTACACCCACGGTGCCCATCCGGGGTACATTCTCGCTAGTTTATCTAGACTTGTAGCCTCATTAATGAGTACAGCGACCTGACCCTCGATGGAGAGCGGTCGAGACATCGGGGGTTTCCCTCGGGCACAGAAAACCCCTTTGAGCCGGTAAGCGATTTCGGTGAGCTCGCGTTGTCCCTGGAAATCATATCGATGAGCGACGACAATGAACTCCGGAATCATCGAACTTCCGAACTCGGAATGTAACTCACCGGCTGATCTCCGACGGGAACGTCTTCTTGGCGACGCTTGTGACGCCACTCCACAAGAGGATCATGGACCATGGTACTCAGAACGCTCATTAAGGCATCTTGTTGCGCCCGCAAAATCCCCAAAGTCACCTGGGGAATACTCAAGTAGTCAGATGGAGAAAGTCAGATCGGGGAAACCCGGACAGGAATCGAGTAGATTGTGCGGGAAAAGTTCGTACCTGGCAACATTTTCTGAAGGTGCCCTCTAAACCCGTAGGTCCCATGGCGTCGACCATATTTTGAGTGAGTCGGAAGGGAACTTCCTCCGGATACGTCAGATCCAAGCCCTTCGGGAACGATTTGAATCGCTAGATGCGGCATAATGAATACACACGGGACGCTAATCCGAATGTCCGGCGACGCCTCATCATGAGACCTCCCGCCGAGGACTATGAACGAAAGTCTGCGGAAGACTTACCCGTAGGAAAATGAGGTTGAAATCCACGTGGACAACCTGACCCGTTGTGGTCTCTATGAGAAGATTCTCCCCGTGACGATCACCCAGTCCTAGGATGAAACCGACCATGCTCATGACCGCGGCCGACGACGAGAACATTTTCTGGGCTTGATACCTGATGATAGGGAATCGGGGCAGGCGAGTTAATCAAGGGGAATTCACGGGAAGCGAAGACCAATTCGGAATCAAACGCTGAAAGCATCTGACGCAAGTCTGGGAACTGACCACGACGGTGCGTCTGGAAACCGTCTTTGGAACCAGAAAGAGAGCGAAGGTTTGAACTGGGCCAGAATCCGGTCGAGAACCGCCCTAAGGCCAGCGATGTCCGAAGCTTTTCGCAGCGTTTCGACTTCTTCGCGAATTTTAGCGAAGATTTGACGGTGCGTCATCTGGAGAGCGAACAATCTCATTTTGTAGTCCGTGAGACGACTAATGGAACACGTTTTGCGCTCATCGATTCCGAGAAAGGAGTTTGTCAAGACATTCGCTTACGTTCGTGAAGGACCCGCTCTTGTTCGCTTCGTCGACGGCAGTGCTGTACGGCAGGAGATTATCGACCCATTCGAGAATTCCACATTTGTCATCGAGCGGAGAGACATTGTACGTCCGGATCCGCAATTTCCTGGGGAAAAAAATCGATTTTGAAGGAAATCATTGGGATAGGAAAAAAGGAACACCTCAGTTCGGCTCCACGGGAAATGAAGATTAAGTCTTGTGTTGACCATGGCTCCCCGGGACGTATTTGGAGTATAATTATGAAATCACCTGTTGTAGGCATCGGGTTCTTCCGAGAGGAACTTGTTGATGAGTCCCATGAATTCCATGAGACGGCAGTCTTTCCGCAAGTCATCTTCGGCTTTCAGCAGAAAACCGTATCGCTTACCGTCAGAGCCGATCGCTACGATTTTGCGAGGCTTCTGCAGCGACTGCAACACGATAACCTGGGAAGCGAGAATCGGAGGGGTTCCGGTCAGTTGCGTTTCTCCTGCGAGACTCGCCGCTCGGGTAATTGAGGAGGCAGCCCTCACCTGATCGTCTACGCGACTGAAAAATACGTCTCTCGGGGATGTCCCATCGATGGCGACACCGAGAACTCTTTCGGTGGGGATTATTATCTTCGAGAAGTAATTCCGAGCGAAACCGTTACTCAAACCCGGACAGACGGTTTTTAATGAAGCGATCTTGTCGCGCACATTGGCACGGCACAAAGACAGGAGCAGCGTCGTCATGTTAGTGATGTCGTTTATTCGGTCTTTCATTTCGGGGCTCTTTTCTTCCGCTAGAGCGAGGATCGCCTTCGCTCGACTGGACCTCTGTTTGTTCTCGTACCTGAGCGACATTCAAGATCAATATCTCCTCTCTGTGTTCGTAGGTAAATTCTATTGATCGCTAATCCAGGGTCATCGATGAAATTTCGAGACGGCGGTTTGACGTACCTTGTGGTAAACAAGAAATTCCAGAGGGCTCTCTCGGGGAACGCTCGAATAACTTGGCAGAGCAAGGTTTTCGTGAGGTCTACGACCCTCTTATGGGGGTGAACGATACGAGAGACGAGTTGACCCATAACAGCATAGAAAATCGAGGGACTCAATTTCAAAAGGTTCGTGGAAACCTTCTGATAGAGCACCTGCAGCCTCTGTTCATTCACCTGGAACGAATGAATATAACGAACGAATTATTTTGATGTTCTGTAGTATATTAGGAGAGGATTCGTTCCGAGAACATGTTGAGGGGGATCCATGAAGATTTGGAACTCACCTCATCTTTGGTTTTGGAAGCGTTCTCCGCGCAGTCGAAGAAAATCGTCAGAAGACGTGGCAAGGAATGGAATAGATGTTTTTGACCATGCTCTAGCGACTGGCAGTAAAATTGAATAATGTTATGGATGACGGGCGCCTGGAAGGTAGAATTCCCGTCATCGACTTCTCAAAGGAGATAGTCTCGATTTCCGGCCAATACGTGAAGCCAACGTCCGAAATCTCACTTTCTTGAAGTCGATTTTCGGATAGAGGAAGAGATCGTCGTAGTATTTAGCGAGGCGATAGTATCCATCTTCCCACGAGCTGTCGGCTTTCGCGACCCTCTTGTAGAGGTTCTGTTGAGCGTCCTGATCGACCCACGATGCTTCATGGGAGTATTCCGCGTGTAGGAGCCGGATGCGAGCCATCACACGATTCCGCTCTGGACGCTGAATTCGGCAGGAAAATTCACTTAGACATTGGATTTCGCTGACGTTCGTCGCACGACGAAGGACGAGGCCGATGCACCCATGGTACCCTCGCGCCTCGGGTCATCAGGGATGACTCAGAGGGCCGATTAGAAATCAGCTATTTCTCACCCTGGACTCGCCAGACTTCTGAATGAAGTCTTCGAGTATGTTGATCGAGGCCATGTGGTCTCCTTTGGCCCACATCAGTCGAGCCTGCTCCAGGCAGAGCTCTCCTTTGAACGAATCCTGTCCTGCATAGGAGTCAGCCTCGAGGAGACAGGTGTATGCGTGTTGATAATGTCCCGCTCTGTGGAGAAAATGATTCTGGAGGAAACGATTCGACCCCGACCGAGAAAGGACCGTCCCCGCCCCGCTCCCTTGACGGGCGGGAGTTCAGCCGGCGATTTCTCCCGCGATATAAGCGAGCATTCTGAAGAATGAGATTGTATAACCATTTGACTCACTCTCTGGCCAGTAGTGCGCTTCTCAGCCACAGCTCCGATATCTTTGGGTTCAGGATCGTCTGCTGCGAAGGCTGATCCACTGTGTGAGCGGCGAGCTGCAGGACAGCTCGACGGATTTCCAGGACACTCTCGGTGAGGACTGACGACGGTCTCATCCTGCGTTCGCGATCTTCCCACATGCCGATCACTTCGTCGAGCCGTTTCTTGAGTTCTGCTCCAGACGATTTCTGACCGTTGAAGCCAACGAGTTTCTCAACGCCCAGCCGAAGATCGTTCAACATGTGGAGACGCACAACCGTCGTGGGATAGACCTGAGGACAGAAGTTGTCACTGACGCACTCTGCCCATATTTATTATTGTTATGCTCTCTGAGCTACTCATGTATCGCTCATAAATCCTCGATGCATCATGACTCCGACATTATCGAATAATTCGCCTCCACACACCTGCATGTAGACTTCGGGCTGCAGACAAGCAGCGGTGGCTGGGATCATCTCGAATTGGCGTCGCTCGTCGAGCCTCGAATGGAACAGAGCTTTGTCGCCTTGCCTCGCGGCTGAGAGGAGTCTACCGACCGAGAATCCAAAGGTTGAACTCTTGGAAGATACTGATTTCTGACTCAAGAACTTGTCGAGACTGTTCCAGTCTCCCAACTTCCAGGCTGCCTCGACCCGGAAGGCGTTCCAGTCTATGGTGCCCTGGGGAGAAGAGGATCAGTCAAGGACTGGAGCTCATGTTTCCGAGCACATGTGGATTCGATCGATTTCGAACCTTTTGAGCGGTTGAGGTATCAGGAGATCCGTTGGTCATCATACCACTAGCGAAGGTCAATGCTGAGAGCGGTTGATGCAGCGCGAAGTAGCATTCGACGACTCCTTTATGGTATTCCTCGCGACCCCCCTCGACGTTTATCAATCTTTCGTAACAGGTCAGGGCATCTTGGAGTCGACCTGCGAACAGAGCGATGAGCGGAAACTCGAACGACTTGACGTTGCAATCGAAGACAGAGTCCGCTACTGCCGCCAGCAGGTTCAAGACTCGCCCAGGTTGCTCGTAGAGACGCTAATTGAGCGGACATTCCCATGGTGAAAGGCGGAGGAAAAAACGGACTATCAAGTGTTCCCTCCAGACAGTTGTCGATACACGAATTAAATTACAGAATATCGGGCATTGGACCATGTCTTCAATCGGGCGAAGAGCGGATAATCCGGGCGGACAAGGACTTCGCCGCTTAGGTAGCGTCTCTAAACATCACTCATTGTTATTTCAGATATCAATTATATTAATCATGATGAATGAAAATATTCACCTTGAGCTTTATGCTCGATGATTTTCTCTTTCAGGGAAGCTTCCTCTTTTCTCAAAGCAGCCGCTCCCGCTACGCCATCCGGATCGTTGAGCCCAACGTATATGTCTTGCAAGAACGTGAGATTGGCCTGGAGGGCGTCCGCGTTGTTCCTCAGGTACGTACTCAAGTGCTTGAGAGCTCTATGGAATTTACGTGAACGTCAAATCCAGCGATACTCGTCGATTATTATTTCAGAGCGGTCTTCACCATGAGGTTAAGGAGGAATAGTCACCTCGAGTACTCCTGGCAGTTGAAAGCTGCCCGCGCCATCTTGTCCTGGGCGATGTCTTGAACGAAGACGCACCGTCTGGAAGAGTTCGATTATTCCTCGAAACTCAGCCGTCGCGATCGAATATCTGCCCCCTCTCACGTTTGCCATGGGTGGGTTTCCCCGCCTCGATAGCGCGGAACGAGATGGATTCGGGATGGGCGGGGAGCTTGCAGAGATCAACTTGCCTGTCTGTATTGTTGATTCCCCTATCGTTCTCGGTACGGCTTGCTCGGTATCGCATTTGGGACGCTGTCTGAGCGACCGCATGCAGATGGCCCAAAAGTGAGAATACCGTTTGAGTCGCCATCAAGACCATTTTCTTCGAGTTCTGACCGCTAACACTACCGTCGAGCACCGCGACCTGTATCAGAACCATATTTTCATCTGGTGCATATTTTCCCCAAGATGAGTGTTCACTCAAGTCTCCGGCATGGTCTTTCCCTATTTCCCGGGAGGAACCTCTCATCGAGCCGACTGCTCTCACCGACTCTCGAACCTGAACTCACCACTTCGTCTTTGATCGAATCGATCTCCTCTTCGGACGCGTTCACCATAACAGTGGAGACGAGACTCGGGAGAATGTATTGAGCGACGGATATATCGTTGGATGCAATGAGACTGCAAAGATCCAACACATGGTGCTCGGTCGGGTCCTTGACCAGCGGGAGCAAGGACTTGATCCAGGCATTGATCCAGCTGCAGAAATCCTTCCCATGCGGCCCTCCGAAAAGCGGTCGATCTAATTCAGTTTTCTCGTGATCCATTTTTTTGTACTCGTATTTTGTACCGCTCAGCATTTTTATCACTTCTTGCTCGTGGTTCGCGAAAAGGTTCCACAGGTCTCGGTCGTCTGGTAGTCTATAGGTTTTTGATAGCTCTTGGATCGCATACGAAGCTTTGTTCTGCATGTCGTTGTGCTGGTTGTACGATAGGAATGTGTTCACGATCCGCTGTAAGAGTCCATGCGCGAAGTTCGAATCCTCCGTAATCAAGACCGGGACTTGCTTCGAGTCAGATTTCAACGAAATCCTCCCGGGATCCAGAGCCCCTATGTGCGAAAGACATTCCCCGACCAGAGAATGAATTTTCAAGTCCTCGGTCTGACAGCAGGCGAACAGTAGCGGGATGAGCTCGGAAACCAACTCGGTGCTCGAGTCCGAGTTGAGAAAATTCGAAAATTCACGGAAACTCTCAGAAAAAATTCGAGAGAGCCTCCTGAGCACCAGTTTCCGGATACTGACGCTCTCGTTGCTGAGGTTCGCGACCGAGTTCGCCAGCGATTCCCTGAAAGGTGTTTTCTCCGCCGAAAAGGCGTGACGCACAAAACTCGGTAACTGATCGGTCTCGAGAATGAAAGACAATCTGTGGAGTCGATCCGCGTAACACGCCTTATTTGCAACGAGAAGATACTCGAGAATGTCTCGGGCGTGCGACAGCAGCTCGGGCGTGCCCAGCAAGGGTACGATCGACATTACGAGATCTCCGACGATTGTGGGCAGACCCGACTTGTCGAGGGTTCTCACAAAATTGAACCAGGCGTCCGCACACTTCTGCAGAAGCTCGACGTCGTTTGCGGTGCACGCGACCGCCGTGCGCAATACGTAAAGGAGTTTTATACGGACTTTCGTCACGTACTGGACGCCCAGAAAACGGATGAATTGACCCAGACTCGTTAAGATCTGAAGTTTCTCATCCGACGAAGCCTTCCTGATATTCGTTTCGTAGAGGAACAGGATCCCGAGGAGGTCCTGGTGCTCGCATACGAAGTCCCGGATCTGCTCGTCGCTCCGCAGATCACGACCTCGGATATGCGCAACGTATCGGATTCCTTTCTTGACTCCGTCTTCTTTCGTCGGTAGATAAGTCATTAATTCGTAGATGATCTTGTGAGGACCTCCTTCCGTGAACGCTGTTTTCCACTCGGCTCCGAAAGCGTACCGCAGAAAATCTTCGCATTTTCTTTCGGCGCCGTTGTGATGCGTGAACAGATACGCCACGATCTGTGGGAGGTACTTGGCGATCAAAGCGATCAGTTTGGTCTGGGTGTTGTCGAGGCTGACGTTGCTGCTCAACTTCGCTATGTCCCGGACCCGTTGCTGGGCCTCTTCCCCACCATTCGCCACCAGAAGCGGCAAGAGAAAACGATGCAAGAGATTGAGGCAGGGTCCGACGGTTGCGCACTCGGCGTCAAAGACACTCGAGACTCCCTCCATCACTTGCTGAACACTCCGCGTTGACGTGGCGAGGATGCTGCTGTAGACGCATTGGGCGACGGTTTTCCGGTTGTCGAGTAGGATCTGCTTCAGACTGATTCCCAAATGCCTACTCAGCCAGTGCACTTCACTGAGTCCGACGACTCGGAGGTTGAAGACTTTCGAACAAACGGCATTCATCAGGTACTTGAAGTAATTCGGATGTAGCGCAGGTCTCGCCGCCAGTATCCTGCTCACTAGCATGAGACCTGTCTCGTATACGTCGACGTTCTCTTCGTAGAAAATTTCCGTAAAATCAACGTAGGGTCGCAACTTCGAGTCGCTCCGGAGAACTTGATAAATTGCTGTGATCAAACCAAGCCGTAATAGGTAGCTTCTCTGTGTGACGAATATTTCGAGTAAGCTGTCAAGGTTGTCCTGGTTCATTTTGATGTGGAAACACGCGCTCACGATCACTCTACTCCTCGATTCGGGAGTCACGCACTCGCTCCTGAGGATTTTTATCACGTACTGGGACAAAATTTCCCCCAAGTTCTCGTCCACGAGCTTCGTCTCGCCCCGAGAACAGGAGCAAACCTCTTCGCCGAGAAAAACGCAGGCGATGTTGCTCAGCTGCTCGGCCAACCGAGAAATTTCTCCATCTTCGAAGTGATGATGTTTCAGGTCGTTCAGGATCTCCCGTAGGTTATTCCTGTGGAGATGGAGCGTATCGATAACCGGAAGGATAACCTCCTTCCGTTTGCAGGCATCGCTGAGCAGGGATTTTTTCACGACGCTCTTTACTTTGTTCTCGGGCAGCATCGCAACCAGAGCTAGACTGCGCGAAATGAGATTCCTGTGCTGGGAGAGCTCGTGCACGCTCAAAGTGATGCCGTGCCTGTCTTTTAGGAAAGAAGCGGCGTGCGGACTGAAACTCAGCAGCGGGGCGAAGACCAGATTGGTGATCGTGGTTTCGGAGGTCCTCGATAAGCCGGACTTCAATAGAACTCCACAACATTTCACCGCGTTCTCGAAGGCGGTCACGCTCGATATAGGGAACAGTGACTGGAGATACATCTCGACAGTTGTTCGGACGACATCGGTGAGATGCGGCATGCGACACATCAGGTCGTATGACGGTAGAAGATTAGGCTCGAAAGGAATCTTGCGCACATCTTCCGACGAGATAGTTGGATTTTCAGCGATCAGTTTCGATGAGTCGTCCAATGGAAGGAGTGAGGCCCAATGTGGTCGCAGAGCGTTCGAGATACTCGGATTTTTTCGGACGGAGAGTGCGAGCCACTCCACGATAATCGGCGAGAAAGTTTTCTTGGTCTTCGGCCAAGTTTCCATCAAAACGGCGATGTTGTCCGCCGTTAATGACTCTCGTTTGCTCAGTCGTTCGAATAAATGCAAGAGTTCGGACTCGACTTGGGGCACTCGATTGTCGTCAGACAAGTGCTTCAGTAGGACGACGCTTATGTCGACGACGTGCTGCTTTACTGCGGGGACCTTGGCCTGCATCCTGTAAACTCCTCCCAGACAGCCGATCCACGCTCGAAGGAAAGAAGGTTCATCATAAACCGATTCGAGGCATGACATCAGCTGATGGTGGAATGAGCGAGCATCCAGATCCGGAACGAAATATAGGAACTCGCCCATCAAGTTGAGCAATATTCCGCGAACGAAAGGAGCGGTCTGGGCTGGGAAGTCGACCTCGGAAGGATTGCCGATCGGTAATTTCATGTGCATCCCGAATAGAAAGTTCTCACGGATGGTCGCAAGGATTCCGAAAGCGGCGCAATCTTCTTTCTCTCCAAGAAGTCTCCGGAGAAGATGCAATAAGAGATTAGAAATAGTTTCGACCGACTGCACGCTTCTCGCCTGGGTCATGACCTGAAAAAGGTTATGGTGTCAGATCGCTCTGCGAATGGTCTGCTCATCCTGACCCAGTCGGACGCACTTTCCCGGTCTCAGCTCGTTCAGACTCCACTATTTTCGAAAGAAGAATTCTCAACTATGGGAAGAATGGTCCGCGCTAGAGACAGAGCGTCGTGATTCGACAGGAGAGCTCCTAGAGCCCGGAATTGAAGCATCAAACGAGGGGTCATCTCACCTTCACTACGAAATAGGCGTTGAAATGCAAAGTATCCGCAGCGCCGATGTCCGTGGTCCCGGAAGGCGAGAACGTTTCGATCATCGTATCGATAATTTTGTAGAAGTTTTCATAATTACTCCGATGATACGAATCAACTGTGGATTCAAACGGCTTTGCAAAACCTCTAGTCGAAAAGAGAGAGTACAATCATGGTTCGAGTTTGTAACCGTCATTAGATATCAAGTTTCGGAGTCCCCCGTGCAAATGGAGACATCCTCTGCAAAACCATATGATCGGAGAAGACTGCCGAGAATTCGAATTGATACCATGAGTTGTGGAGCAGAATTTTCGCGAGCGGAATGACCGCGAAATGCGGAGAATCGGTCACGTCGTCGACAACGAATAATGAGAGTTCTCGCGGAAGCGAAAATATTCATTTAGGCTCTTTAACTCACGCGAGTCCGAATCATTGAGGATAGTAAGGATGGCATTTCGGAATTCGGTCACTTTCGGATCCATGTCGATACGAGACACCGGAGCTCGAATTTCTTCTTCTCACAGCATAGTTCTTTCAATTTGAGCACTACGAACACTACAGATAAAATCACAGGGTAAATGAAAGCCCTTTAGGCCATTCTGTAAACATCATCGAAAACCGCCATTTCGATCTCCGAATGTTGTCGAATCTGACATCCCGACTTCCGGGTGCACCTAGCGCAGAACTCATGGGATACGACGTTTTCGGCGCTCATGCCCGTCGATTGACGCGACTCTGGAGTATCGAGGCTTGGGCTCGATTTTCTCGAGATTCTCGCTCCCTCGAGGTTGCTGGATATCATCTGCATCTTAGAAAAGCTTTTCCGGGTGTTGCTGGGCGGTTCTGAAGTTCTGAAGCAATCGCCTAGCCACCCGCTCTCAGCTGCTGATTCGCGCGGTGCAGTCTCGAGATCAGACGGAGTCCTCCTCTTTTTGCTGTTGTCTGAACTCAGCTTGAGCGATCATAAACTATTCCGATTCGACTCCCATCCGATGAGGTCATTCCTAATTTATTTCCGAAATTTCATGACAGGCGAACCCATCGGATATTTCCGAAGGCCCCATCTCAAGACCTCTCGAGATTCGATGGAGCTGAGGGACAGGATTCATTGTTCCGGGAAATAGGTGTCGAGGACTTCAGTCTAAACGTCTAAACATCGCATCAACTCGGAGTCCAGACGGTAGGGGACTGATGAGGCTTTATCCCTGGGTTGTCTTCTCGCCTCTCTCGGCTCTTCTGGCCTAGATGTATCGGGTGCGAAACGAGTAACGGAGATGCTCCAGCTTCGTCGATTCACTGCAACGGAGCCAATGAAAACTATACGTACGGTACTTCCTCTGATTGGAGAGCATGCTAGGTTAGAAGGGCAGCTCATGGGAAATTCGCCAACCAGTGGAGTGCATACATAAAGAGATGAACAGTGACCGATGAAACACAGAATCATACTTCATCGGTGCCCATTCGATAATTCTAGTATTTTTCCCGCCATTGCTCGACTGCTCGACGTAGTGAGCTCGGGAAGAGTCCGGTCTGTCACGATCCTAGTGAAAACATTCAAGGGCGTGCTCTCATTGGATGGTGCCTCAGCTGGAGTTTTGAGAACTGGGGGTCATGCCCTTCAATCAAAAAAAATACGGTGTACCGCGCATGGATTTTTTCATGGGGGTGGCGGTCGATGTATTGTCGGGGAGGCGGTTAGATGAGCGAGCGCTTCTTAATGATGGTGGGTCTGGGGAAACACAACCTCCAAGGGGGAAGATTATTCTTTATCATCGCTAACGAACGCCGAAACCCTCATCTGAGCCTTTCCTGTGCGACTCGCGCGAGTTCTCCTGGCGCCTTGCTCAAGGGTCCAGCTGAGCTGAAGTCTGGGAAAAGGATAGATCGAGTCCTGTTCGGCGGCCGAATGCTCCAGATCGACCTTCGCAGCCACGGCCGATTGAGCGATCTCCGACACTCAATCGATCCAGCATGTTTGAGACAAGATGGAATATAGAAGAATGCTCCGATCTCGGACCCTCCTCCCATGGTCAACGCCGACTCTGGGCGAGAGTGTGTTATTGACCAACGAAGCAGACGATCCTCCATGCTCGAAAGCTCATAGCATAGCGTCTCCGCGTACAAGTGTTCGATTTTTCTGGGTTCATCATGGAGTGGCTCCAGGATAACCCCAAGGTTCGAATGAGAGATCCGGCTGGCGTAGCGAAGAAGATACATAAACTAATCCAAGATGGTAAGATCAACTGGAGATCCGGCTCTAGCAGCCGAAGCGCCAGAACCTAACACATTACGGTATCATTGCTGGAAGCCCGTGTCTCCAGGCGTTGTCGACTGACATTCTGATGCTTGCAATATGTCTTTCAATCGAAGTGCAGGGAAGGACGCAATCAGCTCAGATTCTAGGTTTTTCCCGTTCGGGGGACGCGAGAGAGGCGCGCGCTGACGATTCCCGTTGCGAATCGGCAAGACACTGCCTAAGCGCGCGAAATCTGCATGATGTGGGCTCGGGGAGGTTTTCTTGACCGCGACAAGACGGGAGCGAACGTAGAATTCCCACAAGCGAGCCCTCAGACTCGACAGACGTTCATAGAAGAGCTGTCGATCACAATCAAAAATTCATATACCTAGCTGCGCAAACAGATTCGGATGCTTAGTGAATCATTTCACCCTCTTCACTGAGCGCGGCGGCCTGTTGCCCAGCCTCAACGGTACGAGATGAGGGAATTTTCTCTGAGACCATCTCGTTGTTTTGTTCCCTCGTCGAAAGTTCTTTCGCGTTCCTCGGAGGGTCATGGGCGGCGATATTGCATCTTTTGATTTCGTGTCAGAGTGGCGTATCGAAACACTAGCCGAGAGGAGATTGCTCAGCCCGGGGAAATTCGTGAATTCCGAATGCGCTGCTCATCGGCTTCGTGACATTGTCCACCGAGTCGACATCGATGTCAGTTTTTTGAGGAATCGGCAATAGTCTCCTCATAATTGGAGCCATGAGGGCGAGGCATATTCCGAAAACACAGACGCTGCACAGGAACTTCACTAGAATTCTCGAGTCGAGTTCATCGTTCACAATGAGATTTGTGAATGAGCTCTTCTTTGCTTTGGATGCCGTCCCCGTGTTTTCTGTTTCTTGGAGTCTCTCCGGTTCCATATGACAAATATTCGAGAGCAGCTCCTCCTGATGAGGATTCTCCGGTCCGATAGAGATTATCGGCGTCCCTCTCCGCGCCGACCGTTTCTGTCAGCAATGTAGGAACCGAGGCACTCTGTCCGCACTACCGCATCGTTATCTCGTTTGTCTGACGCTGAGTCTGACAAAACGCTATCCTGATTCTATTGGGTTGAAGGAATATTGAGTCATTCGCTCACGGAGAGGTTTTCTCCTTAAGGTCCACAAAAGCTCCAAGTTGTGACGGACTACGATCACACGCTAGCTCGGAGTCACTACCAAGGGAGACCGGTCGGGACTTCGTACTGTGTATTCGAAGCAGATGAGAGTGTCTCCGAGGATTACCAGACGGAGGCAGCCCGACTGAAGAAGAAGTACCTACCGATAGAGTTCGATCCAAACTTAAGCGAAGAGGAAAAAATACCGCACATGATTCAATGGTGAGTATCGACACCGGGTATTTGGGTCGGTACGGAAGACGAAGGGATTGGAGAGCAATACCCTAGGAGACGCTCTCTCACTCGTTCGGGACGTTTCAGGTACGCGGAGAGCTTCGACATTATCCTGAGCTCGGGAATCAATGAAAACCAACTACCAGCTATGGTTCAACGTGCCGACCTCCATTTGAGATGTAGAACCCCGGAATGCTTCGAGTTTCTGAATCAGCAGAAGGTCCCCATCCTCGTTTACTCGGCTGGTCTCGGGAACATAATCGAACTATCACTGAAACAGCAAAATGCCATGAAAGGGAACGTGACCATCATAGCGAACTTCTTGGTCTACAAACCGGACGGAACGCCCCTGAAGTTCGCCAGCGACTCGGTGCTGCACTCGTACAATAAGAACGCCTCGCATCCGATGACCAGAGATTACTACAGCAGTGAAAAACTCCAACAGAGAAATAATGCCATTCTAATCGGAGATTCCTTGGGCGACGCTTCGATGACGGACGGTGCCCCTTGTTTAAAACCTCCGCCGGCGGGACACAGCACTGTTTTGCGGATCGGTTTCTTGAATCGGAATTTCGACGCGAGTCTGAAGCGGTACCTCGATGCGTTCGACATCGTTTTGGTGGACGATCAGACGATGGATGTCCCCTTGGAATTGTTCAGGAGAACTTGTTGCGATGCAATCTCGTCTCAGACGTAGAGGAGCAAAGCGAGTAAGGAATATAATTAGCTCCAATGTTTCGATATGTGCTCGACCTTTGATACTGAGCAGGGAAGGTTCCTTGCTGATGGAGATACCCCTCCCGGTCGTCTGATGAGTGGAGGAGCGTTCGATAATAAATGGCCCAGGTGGGAATAGTTCGGTGCCTTCTTTCCCAAAACCCGGGGACCCTGAGTGCATACTAATCCCGCGCTGAAAGCACTGGCCTTCGCAGAAAGGACATGCGCATGCAATCTCAAGGAAAACAGTATCTGATTCTCTACATGTTGACTTTATTCATCTCATGCTATAAGATAGGGGTATTATGTGGAGAGTTTCCGAACAGTTAAGACCGCTGCTTCATCGCTATCGTCATCATTATATTCATCATCGTGTTCGCTCAGATCACCGGAAATTACAATAAAGGAGATAGAGTGGCATGTAGACATTGAATGGTAAAGATGTAAAAATCTGGGATTTCGTTTTTAAGACTTTTTCCAACCATCTCCTTCCTGTTTTTAATTTTTTCGCTCCAGTTCATTTCCATCCTCGCATTATCCCTGTTCATTATCGATGCCAGCGACAGGATCGAGAGCATCTGCGCACATCGAATGACTCGGATGGATCGGAGAGAAACTCCCGAGGGAATTCACGACTTACGAGCAACAAAAATCTCGGTTGCTGCTCCTTCGGCGTTTTGGTTCGCAGAAGGACGAGAAACGTCAGTCAATCGAGAGTTGAGAGTGAATTTGGGGTACTCAGAGATTGATCCTCATCCAACATGATGAACATTGAGCTTCTCTCCGGTTGGACTAAATCCGTCTGAACAGCGATTGAGTCGGTCGAAATTCAGGGACAAACCCAGGAGATCTGATAATTACTCATCCGTTCCGATGACTCGATAAGTGCCGTATGCTTCGCTGTCCAGTCAGATCATTATAATTGTTGGTAGAATAAGATCACAGACGGAAATGACGCAGCGGACGACGATCGTCCGCTTCGGCCAGATCGATGTAGGCTCTTGCGGGAAGACTCCATGGAACATGTAGAAAGTTGACAAAGATAGCACTTCTGTATCGGGAAGATCTCAGCCCGGAGCTTATCACCGTCAGTTGCTCGCCTGACTGGTTCCAAAGACTCAACTATTATAGCAATGCCCTTCTGCAACTTCGTCCGCCCTTAAGAGACTTCACAGTGCTCGAACAGAACGTTTATCTTCTCCACCCTCGTCTGGATTCGGGAACCGACGCCGTCGCCCGCCTTGACTCAATCAGGGGTCGATAGTCCTTGACGACTTCGTCCTTGAGGATTTATACCCCGCAGAAGGGATGTACTTCTGTTGAGCCTCGACTCAACGTTTCCGGAGGTCTCGACCCTCGGGAGTAGTCCTCCTCTCGGCTTGCGGAAGGAATGTGAGAATTCAGTTGACATGAGACAACTCGATCTGGCCCGATCGATATAGAAGGAGAAAAAGAGGGGCTTTCGACTAAAGACTGGGATGAGACAAGACCGTGGGACGGTTCTGATTGAATCGATCTTTGCATTGGATTTCATGCCGAGATTTATCGGACTCAGGAGGGGCCGTTAGCGTGTTTCAGGAGAATCACCTTATGCTCAGTGTTTCTGTCGGCGGAACAATACAGGGTTACCGGTTCGAAACTCTCAAATTTATTCAGGTGGTTTATGTTGCTCTCTCGGAAATGAACAGCGGCAGCAATGAGCTCTCTAGAACTGGAAGCTTTTTCATCCTCTCTGCTGTGATACTCTATGGCATTCACTGCTGGTAATACTGAATGGTTTCAGGTTTAGTACAAGATGATGGTTCCCGCATCGATTCGATATTCTTTCCGCGTCAAATCGAACTCAACGCGATTACCGCTGTGGTTGCTGCTGACTGTCCTCTTATTAGGTTGGTTGGTCGATAGATCTGTTCGTAAGTGTTCGTGTAGTTTCATGAATGTTTGTCGGTGTGTATCTCCATCGGTCGGAGTAGGGGAAAGTAAATGAACTGGTCTTCATGACAAACATCGCGTCTGAAAATCATAATGAACTAATAATAATAATTATAATAATGATTATAATCCGTCGAGGTCTTTATCATCATTGTTATCGTTATCATTATCGTTATCATCATCATCGTTTTCGTGAACATGATCGTCGTCGGCGCCGACGTACACAGGTATCGACTTCATCGTGATCAAGGTTAGTTAACAATGTTGTTGTTGTTTCTATTGTTGTAGCTGGTTTGTGAATCGGGGAAAAAAGGATGCATAAATAAAAAAAAAGCGACATTTGGTATAAATCACAGATGGCGTTTAGCCAACATTCTCTTTCCACAAAGTTGGCAGAGAAGCTGATGTACAGCTTGAGAGAAAACTGTACTTCATTCTTCAAACTGCAAACTCGTCTAAGCAAGACGTTTGCGCTCGGATGCGATGTTAGAGCGTCCGAACTTCCAGGTGTGATGTTGTTGTTATATTTGTCTTCTGATTTTTCGCTATCCCGGAGGAAGTTCAAGCAGTCGTAAGGGCTTGAACTTACTCGACAAGTCGAGTTGTTGTTGTTGTTGTAGGAATGATAGCGGTAGTATTCTGTGATTTGCTTCTTTTCCGGCTTTGAAAAAAGTAAATGTCGGTCCGTTAATCGACTAAGGGAAATGGATCAAGATCATTATCATCGTCGTTGTTATCTGCTCAAAGGATTTTAAATCCGAGCGTCCGCGCGATGTGTTCGAGCCCTCAGGGAGAGCGCAGCGGATCTCTGTGGATGAGTAATGATGAGGATCGAATGAACTAAAATATTCATCGAGTCAAATCGTTGGTACATTAGCTACAAACGGGTTGTCGAAGCGATGATGCTCGCCGGAAGCTCCAGTGCTGACTCTTCAAACCTCCGGACTTGTGGTCCGACCGTCCGGTTTGACCGCGAGTTCGATTCATCCACTCAAGACGGTACACGTCGATGGGATCGAAGAGGGAGAGGAACCGGGAATCCGGGAACAAACCAGGATCAGATGGAGGGACGGGATGGAGGCCGACTAGAATGCGCCTAGTGCTTTGAAGGAGCATATCGCTACCGACTTTCCCAAACTCAGCACGAACCCTGCACGTCGAAGAAAAACCACGAAACCGATTGTCGATTGAGGGCGTCGCGAAAGAGGAGAAATCTTCTCAGTTACCAAAAAAGGTACGAATTTCCCTCGCTTTGTACAGTAAGTTCACACGTCAAACACCGCAAAGCGGGAAGTTTTTTTTCACAGAGGCCAAACTTCTCTGGCGCAACCTATAACTGGGGGATAAGGACACGGCCGGTCACGGACCGGACTGGAATCAGTAGGAGGGTCGGTAGAGAAGGGGATGGAGGGAATGGGTTTGAATCGGGGAAGATGTCGAGGTTTTGCTCTACAAATGTATAATTCCTCTTTTCTCTGTTTGTACAGCAGCCTTGAACGAGGGGAACGAACAAACAAACAAACAAACAAGCAATAATTCAGCAAGCGACAAACCGCTTGCCTAGTCCACGCTCAATCCAGAAACAGAAAGAGGGGAAGAACTTCGGAAAAACCCAAAAACAAACTCATGATTTTCCTTTCTCTCGCTTCCTCGCTTACGCTCTCGTTTTTTCCGCTTTGGCCGCAAAAAACAGCCGATCGGACACACGCTAGTGAAATTATCGGTAGCCGCTCTTCGTCACGAGAAAATCAAAATGTGAACGAAAAATCATGTATGAACACAGTTTTTGTTTGTTTGTTTGCTTGTTGCTTTGTGTCACTTCTGTGGTTTACTGAGTATTTTCTGAGAGGAACGGGATTGATCGGTGATGTCCGTTTCGTTTGAAGTATTCCATGATCGCTGGATAGTAATAGTAGTTGATGTCTGTCCCCGTGAGAACGTTTCATGTTTGTCGATCTGTCATTTCGGAAACACGCGACAGCTCTCGGAAGAGATCTTCGCAGCCCGATGAACGTGTTTCAATGTGTCCAGCATAAGGATTCGACAGTGCGTCCGACGTGTTCGAGGAGAATTGAAGACGTATTTCCACGCAAATTATCGCCACAGTAAACGTGTCACCACCATTGATACAGTTCATGATTCACATCCTCATCATTGTCATCTCCTTCGCCATAACGACGGACACCGTGGATGAATGCAAGGCCGCATGGCTAGAATGATGGATGATAGAACGAACGAATCGATGAAGTAGCATCAGCATCATCATAAGCATAAATAGTAGCAGTCAGTGTCTGAATGTTGAGGGACTATACGGGAATTACATTCATAAATGTTTTTCGGTAGATAATATTGTTCATCATCATTATCGGCATCGGCGTCGTATGCGAACTGATTGGAACACAGTGTTTTTGGAAATGGGTGGAACCATTTCAAAAGCTCAACGGATCGATTGCTCATAGTCTGAGCGAAGGCCCCGCTGAGCTGTTCGCAATGAGTTTCGCTTGCTGGCCCCTTCAGTGAATACGATTGTTTCCTTCGTTATATGGAAATAGAGGTATCTAGGATACAAAGTCCGGCCCGAGTGTTCCGTAGGTTCGAACGCGTTCGTCCGTCCGCTTCGTTGACTGCTTTCTCGTAGTCGGAGTGAAAGGCTTATCTCAAACTGCAGGAGCTTGTCGATGGCGTTAGCCGTCGAAGCGACATGACTGAGTGAGAGATGAATGAATGAATGACGTACGAGCGAACGGACGAGGCCTCGGCATACAAGCTCACTGACGTGACAGTCGAGTTGCCGGATCACGGGGACGAGCGTTTGCAGACGCGAAACTATTAGGTTCAATAATTATTATCATTGTTATCGCTATTATCTTGTTTGTATGAACGCAACGTAGCTAGAACACAGGTGGTGAGAAACACACACAGGTGACCGGGCGGATGTTTCAAATTTTCTTTCTGAATCACAACCCAACCCACCTTTTGTTGAAGCCGATTCCAGCGCACGGGCCATCGGAGACCTGCCTCTTCTCCAAAGCCCCAACGTGCATATATGTATGTATCCACGGGTTGCAACTGCCGCGATGCCACAATATGCTTGATCGCCCATGTCTCTAATGAGAGGGACGTTTTCACACTGTTTTTCGTTGATGCGATTCCCTTCTTATTCCGTAAACCTGCAGTCTGAGCAGCCTTCACGACAGCCACTCATGCAAAGGGGCCACATGTGGGGTGGGTGAGGGGAATCCCGAAGGGAACCATATGCTCCCGACATATGGGGACACAGGTTCGCAAGGAGGCGATGAACACAAAGCCGTTTCATAGAATGATGATCAAAGTGTGGAAGAAGAGTCGAAACCTAAGGCAGACTTTCTTCGTTCGAGTCGAACATGGCGTTTCACTACGTTGCAAACTCGATTGTTGCTGCCATTGACCTCTCTCGATCGTCATGAATATTCTTGTATCTCATGCTGCTGTAGCTTAAGCCGCTGCGAACAACAACAGCTGTATGGTGACGCAGAAGCGGGAATGGTCCTGTCAGAACCAGTGTCGCTAAGCTCTCAACACGAATCGGTGTTGGTGTTGTGAACGCTGCCCGTTCTGCAGCAGCCGTCAACAGTGATCGACTTGTTGCTTTTCATGCTTCCGCTGTTGTTGTTCTCGGTTCTCAATAAGCCAACGCTGACTCTTGCAAACGGACGAAAGCCGTTCGCATCCGAAGCTTGACGCAGCTGCTGTCATGGGTGAAGGATGAAACGGCAATGGATACAACAAGGTGGATCAACTAACTAGCTAGCTGAATGGCTGGCTGGCCTAGAGAGATTTTCCTTTGGTTGCAGTTTGCAATAATTCTAGTTCAATGAGCTGTATCGACGATGGGGCTCATACCACCATTATCTGCGATGCTGTTCTGTTGTTATCTGTAGGTTATTCTCGATGTTTCACTGCCAGGAGGTCGTTAGTGTTGACACACGTATTACAGCTGTCTGGAGTGTGTGGTGAGCGGTCGAACGACCGTAACTAATTCATCAGCTTGGAAGAGTAGCCGGTTTGTTGGAGAAAACAATTTGACTGCTCTACGATGCCGGTACAGTGAGAACAGTGGTATTATTATTAGTCGTAGTATTAGTAGTAGGAATTGTTGTTTATTAGTTGATGAAAAAGTATCCGTAGAGTTCTTTTAGCATCAGAAAAGGTAGTACGATGATGGTATGTGGGGTTAATATGGGCGCAGATTACTTGTCGGTAAGTAGTTAAGTTGGATAATGTATGGATAATTGTTGTTGTTATTGATGTTGTTGTTGTAATTATACCATAAATATGAATAATTATTATAGTCGTAGTAGTAATACTTTCGAGATTCGTTTGGTCTTTGGATATTGGACGTTGGATAAGGTTCTTTGTTGTTAGTTTGTTGGCATGTTCTTGCTTATCGTTTGGTCAACAATCGCCATACCGTCTGCTCAGCTGACATTGGACAACAATGCGCCGAGAGATTATTCAACAGCTGAAGAAGTCAGACCAGCAGCAGATTTAATCGGGGGTGGTCGGTACTTGCGTGAATCCGCTGTCAGGTCCTTCTCCGAGTGGTTGGGTAGATCGAGGCGATTCTGACTAAGTCGATTGCGACGACCGAAAACAGGCGATGCAAGATGTTTCTGTTGTTCGCTTCGCTACTGTTGTTGCTGCTGTTTTCGTTGTTGTTGCTGTTGTTATTGTTGCTGTTATCGATGTCGTTGTTGTAGATGGAACAAATTTAGCTGTTGTTTTAGATGATGGTACGCTCTTTGTTTCAGTTGATGTCACACATATCTATCGATGGGTTCGATAAATGTCGATTATAACAATATGAATACACATATCTGATTCGATGTTCGTCCATTTGGAGCCTTGGCCCGCGAACTGCCGACCGGTATCGATGGTCCACTAACGAGTCGTCCTTTGCCCGGTGTGGTTCCACTGTGGTACGGCCAACCGGAGTAACGGGGCTCCAGTCCCGTACCACAAATCCGGCGGCGGCAGATTCTCAGCAGGGCTCAACATTGAGAAGGTGTCATTTTGTTAATCGGTTTGATTGATGAATCAGTTTTGAACTTGTTTTTCCTATCGTGTTTCGAAGGACGATGTTAGGACCTTAGCGGAGCCTTCCCCTCTCCGAGGCGGCTCTGAGGCTCGCATGTCCTTTTTGCGGATTAGTAGAGAGTAGTAGTAGTAGTAAGTATAGTAGATTGTTACTTGAGAATCGATTTAGAAGAAGTCGGTCCTTCTTGAAATGACCGTTCTAGCGCGTGGCTTTACCCTTTAAGCTCAGTGAGCGGCCTTGACAACCATCGTATGTCCGACAATTCAAGTTCAGTAAGTATGTATTATTATAGGTGGAGTGTAGAAACCAGACAGTCATTTCGTTCCAGGTTCTCTATCTCGTCCAGTCTGGCCGTCTGGGTGTTCGTTCTGACTATCGACTGTGGTAGTAAGCAGAATGATGAAGATGAACACGGCGGCCACCCGCCCCAGTCGCGGTTCTTCGTTAGGGGAAACGTCGAAGCGACGAACTGGGCAGGCGCCTGTTGTTTTTGATGGGTCGCCACTCACCTCGCAGTAAAGGGCTTGCAGAGCGCCAGAACTTGCTCACTCACTCAGAGGAATATACAGATTTGAGTCAAAGATTTCTTGATGAATTGATTGATAGGTTGTAGAAGAGAGATAGTGCACGTTAATTTCATATCGAGGCTCTTTCTCGCCGAAGGGATCAACGACTGGCCGCTCAGATGATCTGGTCGCTGCTTGATGATGCATCATCTTGGATGATCTGGTTGGGTTGATTTTTTCTGTCTGAAGATTATTCTCGGTGGCTGTTCGAACTGGTGGCCGTCTCGGACAACTCGAGCGAGAGTGTCGAGAAGCTTCAGTCGGTGATTTTGCTCGTTGTTCGGATTGGAGTACTTCGAAGTCAGGTCGCGGGATTTCTTCGAAGAAGACGGAGACAGTCCATTGAGTTATTCGTTGCTAAAAAACAGCCACGCGAATCGCCGATAGTCGACAATCGAAAGCGATTCGTTTGCGGCCGTCTGCTCCTGATGTTCTCCTTTCGAGAATCCCGGCTTCTTCATCTCGTGATCCGTGTGCGAGTTGACCTTTCTCTCTCAGGGGAAGAGATCACGGCTTATCGTCGCTGTCGTTATTGATACCGGACTCTTGGGCGGGTCGTCAGAGCAACGAACGAACAGTCGCATGAGCGAACGCACGAACGAACGAGCGTCCTCGGCCCACCTTCGAGCCGGAAATCTCGGCACAACAGCCGTGGATCCACGTCCTCAGGATCCGGCGGTGAGAGATCAGCCGGATTCGACGAGAGATCGAGAGAGGAACGATGCCGCAACTTGGCAGTTCCGACATCTCCGGTCAGCGGAATCGCAGAATCGGATGAGAGCGATCGATTTTCTGGTTGCTCCAAGCCCAGTTCGGATTCGGTGGATAACAATCGATTTTCCATTAGTTTTGAATTAAAATCCCAGTCTCTGTCGGCCAGTGGTTCATCCCGGAGAGCGGCTCAAAGCGAAAGTAGCGGTTAGTTGTTGTTGTTGTTGTCCTTCTTAATGGAACATCTCTTCTTCAGGTGGTTTTCTCACCCAGCGCCCTCTATCTAGTTTCAGGAATCTGTCGAATAGCACTTTTTTGGCGTTTTGATAGCCATCTGCACTTTGCTTGGTGTCTCCGTAGGTCGGGCCTACGAGATCGCTTCGGCCGAACTGTTCGGCAACCTCCTTGAACAGTGTGAACAGCGAAGCTTTGGAAACCCTTGATTCAAGATTGGTGCCACTGCGGTCTTGACGCATGCCTGTGCCCGAGTTGGTGACCTCGGGGCGTTCGTCGCCCACGCACCAGTTGATCGAGTAGGGTTTGGTTTTCTCAGTGTCTCTGGGCGGATTGTGTCCGGAAACACAGCCCAGAATCGGATGTTGCAGCGAAAACAGTGGGGGTAGTTGCGAGTTTAGCGACGGCTCCCCCTCCAGGCGGCAGCACACGGCGCGTGAAAGATGGCCGTGGTGATACAGGTTCCCGAGCGTTATGGAGGATAAGTACACAGGCTGAAGGAAGTGAGACAGTAGACCTCCTTGCATGCCGAGCACGTTCCAGCGTGCTATCTTGTCCGAGCAGCTCATAGTTCGAAGTCGCTCCCCTTGGAGGATTGCGTCCCACGTTTGATAATCGGTACTCACGTCCACGGGTACAGTCCCTTCGCCAGCCTCTAGCTTGGTCCGAAGGAGACCCTGACAGCTCTTGGTGAAGAGCGGATGATGCGCACTCGAAGCGTCTTCCCCACATTGCTTGTTCTTGTCATCGGGCTTCGTGGTGTGAGCGAACAGCGCGCCGTCGCCGCAAGGGGCCGTCGAAATGTACAAGTGGAACGACACCTGAGGCTTGATCCTCAGCGTCGGGCCGCCTTGCGGGTTGTCGACCGGCTCGATGATGCTGTGCTCCTCACCGGGCTTGTAGGTTTTCAGTTGTTGATACAGAAAGCGCAGGAAACTTCTGCGAGTGATGACCTCGGCGTGGGAGTCGTTCACTACGGTTCCGTCTTGACTCAGTTGTTCGCCTGTGATGCATCGTGAGCCTGTTCCGAAACAGACAACGGCTCCTCTTTTGTCGGTTTGTGCGCAGCGCATTATCAGAGCTGCGAGGACTTTTCGTCCGCCGACATATTCAGGAACTTCCAACACCTTCTGCGAAAATTCTCTGTGACCCAACGCTGCGATGATGTCGAACATCGGGATGCTCTCGTCGGTCGACGACAGGATATCGGTTTCCGGCGACGGAACGTCGGACGCGAGCGCTCCCGATGCGACAAGCTTTCGGAACGCCAGTTCGGCGGCCTGGTGCTTCGCTTCTTTCTTGGTCTTGTCCCAGGCCTCGGCGACCGGTTTCTTGTCGAGGAATGCAACAGCTTTGAATCGGGGATTGTGCGGGGGACCATCCGTTGCAACGATGTCGATCTTGGCTTCGACATGCTGCATCTGTCCAAACTCGTGGAAAGCGCTCACGGGGTTCTTAGTGAGAGACGCGTAACTGGGGAACTTCGAGATCGATTGCGGACCGGCTGTCGATGCCGGAGGTCCTGAGCTGCCGGTGGCCTGACTCTGGTGGTTGGCGACCGGTCCGACTGCGGTTGTCGGATTCTGCGACGACGTATTACCAGCGGAGTTGCCAGCGGACTGGGCGTCTTGACATCCGCCCGAGCCCGCAGCAGCTGAATGTGATTGTTGCAAATGGTGGCTCGATTGAGTATTCGATGATGATGAGGTTGAAGATGCCGCGTGCTCATGTGCATGCTGTCCTGCGGCAACGTGATGCGCAGCGGCCGCCTGCTGTTGGACGGCTTGCGCTTGCTGCGCAGCTAGCGCGGCGGCGGCAGCTGCTGCTTGCATCTGCTGCGCCTGCATCATGTGCAGCTGTTGTGGACTGATGTGTCCTCCGTTGGCCGCCGCTGCAGCGGCGTACGCCGCGGCCGCCATTTCGACTGTCTGGCTCATCACCTGCTGCGTTATCTTCACATTCGGAAAACATACACCTGCGAGAGAGGGGGAGAGAAATTCTCAATTATTCGAGTTTATTTGAAACGATTTTCTCCGATGTCGAGGAATGCGCGATCGGGGGAGAGGGGGCGGTAGCTCGAAATCGAAAAATCCGAGCGCTCATATATCAGTATGTGGACTTTGGGGTCGGGGCGGGGGTTGGGAGAGCGTGAGTAATTAAAAAGAGAGAGAGAGTGCGCGCCGAGGGTCAATCAACAACTGAGTTCCGGGGCTTCTCGGAATCTGGGACTTGCCTGGAGGTAGCATCACTGGGATGCCTGCCTGTTGCTGCTGAATCAACATCTGAGTGAACGCCTGGTTCAGGCGAAGTATGTCCGCTTGCTGAGGACTAAGCGCCGTTTGTTGTCGAGCCATTTTGGTCATCTTGGCGGTTTGCTTTCGGCCGAGCAACTCTTGCTGCTGCTGTTGTTGTTGTTGCTGAGCCGCAAGGAGATGCTGAGCGGGCAGTGCGGCCAAGTGAGCGGCGGGACTGAGTGTTGGAATACCGGCACCGGCAACAACGCCGACGGGCGCTTGTTGTGGCGGATTCGGTTGAGGGATAACTGCTGCAGCACCGGGGGGAGCCGGTAGCGCGGGATACTCGTTCGTCTGTCCGTTCTCTTCGAATGAGGACGCCGCAGGGAGCTCAGGCTGAAAAGTTGAAGTCAACGGGTGAGTTTCAGTCTCGCGCAATGCTTTTGTCGGGAAGGAGAGGCATAGACGATCCAAGTCAACTGCAAATGTAAACCTCGAAGGAATACGGGAAGAGCCTCACTTGTTTTTTGTTGTTGAGACTCCTTTCGATGCCCTGCAAATCTGCCAGGTTACCACCCGGCACGAGAGTCCACGCCGGTGGAGTGTCCCACACTTTGGAGAGCACTCCCCGGTCCTGCAGCCGGTATAGGATCGGGTTGATCTCCCGTTTGTGTTTCAGTCCCAAAGCCTTTACAAGGTCTTTGGTGTAAACGGGCGCGCCTACAGCCGCGAGATGATTGATCAGTAGAGCAGTTAAATCGTTTTGCAGAATATTATTGTTTCCTCCTGCTCCTGCAGCGTTTTGCGAGGAGACACTTCCGTTGCTCTTTGCTGCAATGAGAGAAAGGAAAAAGTTCTCAATGGGTCTTCCGACTGCGACTGGTGCGCCGGACGAGCTCGGGATCAGGACCCAGCTCAAGGGGATGGAATCGGGGGTCGGCTCCGTATCAGACGCGTGAAACACGGAGAGCGGGGGAATTGTTTGATTGAGATGGAGAGAAGATGAGGCAAAGGAGGGGAGGGGGGGCTCCGTCGTGTTCCTCGATCCGACCACCCGCCCGTCCGTCGTGAAAGTGTCATCGTCAGAATCCAAATCCCCCCGAGATTAGGAGCCTTAGAAGAGATACGGCAGCAGCGGCGGCGGCGGCGGCAGACGCAGCAGTGGCCGCCGTCGACGACGACGGAAGGACGATCGGGTCGACTAATCCGTTTTGGTGCAAAGCCGCTTACGATGTACGTAAGAGGTCGCGGGATGAGATACGAAAGCGCACACGAAGCACGAACACGCACAGTCGAAATAGATATCGTCAGCAAGATGAGCGATTTCGATGAAGATGAACTTACAATTGTTTCTAGCGACCTGGTTGTTGTCGTTCGAGTTGGCGATCGAGTTGCCGTCAGGGGAAGATGGAGACGCGTTCGAATCAATCGTGGCTAGCATCATCTGATCCGCGCTAGGCGCTAAGATGAGGGCCTTCTCATCTCCAGGCGCCACGCCATTCGTCGATGCGCCCGATCCGTTAAGCTTCGAGTGCCAATTCGCCTGATCAACCTGAAAGTAAGAGGGGTATATTTAGAGACCTTCCATCGACGTCGGAGTCGGGCTCTTGGTTTTGGAAATTCCTCATGCCTTCTCATATCGCTCCTCTGCCTTTTCGAACTCGCCACCCGGATCCAATCAGACTAGGGTTGGGAGTCCCGCTGTATCCGCAGAAAAGAAGACACTTCTCATTCGATTTTCCGGCGCTTCGTCCCGTGGACTCGCCGCGGACAAGTATTATAATTAGCTTCGCGATCGGCCCTAATATAGAGCTGTTCCGAGATGGGAGAAAGTCACGACGGAATCTCTGCAAATCTCGAATCCTCTCGCGAGGATTCCCATCTCAGTCGGCTTGAGCTCTCGGAGGAGTTTCAAACATCGCCACTGTGCTCGCCGCTCGGGATTTCCATCGCCTAGCTAGGCGGGTTCTCTGAGTGAGATCGTCTCTCCGCAGACAGAAGCTTAATCCGGAATTTCGGTCTCTCTTGCGCCATCCTCCACGCACATGTCAGGCGTCGACGAACGACCGGTATTCAGGCCACCGGAAACTCCGTATGTGCATTCTCTTCGTCGAACAGAGCTGACCTTCACGAACTACGATCGTAACACCGACAAAGGCTCTGCACGAATTGAATTAGGGCCGTTAAGTTCCAGGAGTTCGAGTCGCACTGGAGAGGAGTTTCGCTGGGACGTGAAATGTAATCGATAGCGAGGCCCCTGCCGAGCAGAGCCAGCCGAGTGAACTCCGAGGGCAGGAAGACAGAGCGCTATGCGATCTCGTTTTCTATTCTAAGCGAAGCACCGACACACCGAACCCCCTGAGACCGATAACGCTCCGTCCGACTGAATGTTCGGATGCTTTCTTGTTCTTTTACCCGTCGCGCTCTCCATCTTATCTCCTGTCTGTACGCCAGATTGAACTTCGGGAGTTTGCACGTCCCCACGAAGTTCGCATCCTCTCGACGTGACAGCCATTGGCATGAAGAACAGAACTCTCTTCGTTCCTTCGGGAGCTCACACACGTCGACTGTCCGGTCGGCGTACGACTAGAGATATCAGTCCAGGACGGCGGCGAGGTTACTGCCTCCGCCCGGCATCTCTCCTCCGGAATACAGTTTCCGACATCATGCGCAATAGCGCCCCGCTCAACATAACGATACTTCACGTACGACGATACGGTGTGCAAAGATAAGAACATCGCACAGGAATAATTTGAAACTCTGTTTTCCTTTCCTCCTCCAATCAGACGTAGGAATTATCTCGGTTCACATTACCACTATGCAGGGGGCTCGGCGTCGAATCCGAGCAGCTGACCGAACGGTTCGGTGAACAGAAGTCGTACGCGTCTCACTCAGTCGCAGCCTCAAGCTCCATGAGAAGAAAAAAAAAGTTCCCCTTCCGAGACGACACGCAGCTGTAACCCGGTAGCTGCAGGTATCCGACTGAGAGCTTTATTTATGCCCATTAACAATGGGCTCCATAGAATCCTACCATCATCGCTGGAACAGATCTTCTGCTGCATTCCACGACGAAATGGAGAAATTCAGCCGCGGCTTTCCGACGGCCACTACGAACAATGAATCCAGCGCTTGTCGACTGGCGCTGAACGACGGGTTCCCCGCACCAATTCGGGTCGTCGTCGCCGTTGCTGACGACACCAACACGGTAAGAGTTGAGCGGTATATGAGCTCCGGATCGGACCTTGACACGGAGGGTTCAAGCTTTTCGCAAACTGTGGTCGGGCAGGGTACGAGGCTCGAGCCCATCAGCTCCAACGACCGAGATCGGAGTTGATTGCATTCCGCATCTCGGAGCGGATCATGGATGAGCCCACGCGACTCGCCCCGAAAACTACCAGACAATCACCCGATCCAAGCCCCGAAACTCCGCAAACTGTACCCTCTCATAGACTGAAATACCGATAGGCGAATAGACCCGACCTGGTTTTCGATGCCGACATTTTGTCGACCAATCTACGTGAGGGGTATGTCGAGCGTTCCAAAACAGGAGAGAATATTCAATGAATTCATTTTGAGCGTGGCGATCAGCATTCTGAGGCTGGGCCATCCCTGCCGCGGCTTTGGGAGCTCCGCTCACTGCAATGAAGAGTTCGAGCAGCAAGCGAGAGAGCGATTTCGTGTGACCGACTCACTCAGTGAGGTACCCAAGCGGGCCCAGACTACAGCCAGCAGGCAAGCTCGTCTGACAGCCAGTCAGTCAGCCAGCCAGCCAGTCAGCGTCGTTTCATGGGCAGCCAACAACGAGAGGAGCAAGCACCCCAACCCTCCGAGCAAAGTACAGCTGCTGCGCCGGAGCATTGCTATCCCCACGGTCGGGTGGCGAGCCCGACCGACCAAGCGACCGGCAGGCCTGCCGGCCGGCCTGCCAGTTCGCTCGCTCGATCGTTCACTCGATGTAAATGCCGGCCCGACTAGGCGGATGGACTCGGTGGCTATCGAGACGGCTTTGGAGGTATCTGACCGGCCTGTTTAGAGCTCGCTCTCCCGTTTGTTGCTTGGTCGGTCGGCCGGCCGGCCAGCCAGCCTCGCTGTCAGACTGGAGCAGACGAAAAGCTTCGGCCATCTGATACTCTCTCGGTCGATTCGGCATAAGCCTGTTCTACTCCTTCCCAGCTGACGGTACACCCCAACGGTCCGCGGACGTCAAGCGTTACGTAGAGCGCGCTTCTAAATCGCTTGGCGCGCGCGTGAAGCGTCTGATTTTTCAGTTGATAAATATGAGCGACGAGAGACAGAACAATGCCTCGCTGTCAACTGTACCGACGATTCTCAACTAGGGTTATGGCCTCCGAAAATTGTTGGAGTTTGAGGGAGATTGCTGATACGTAGCATTAGTGCGGGAGTCATACATCCATCTTACTACCCTGCTTTTCACTCCCTCCATCCACGGTCGGGGAGGAGATGAGGTGGATCGGAATTAATATCGTTCGAGCTATAGCGGAATCGCGAACCGTTACACGAAGAGCTCCGCAGAGGTGCATTGGGAACTCGGTTCCATCGACTCACGAATGTCGAAGCTTGCTTACCAGAACATTGGCAGGATAGGAGTCACACATTGCCCCGGCGATTGTAGAGACTTATTGCAGCAACGAGTGAGACCTTCCTTCCCGAACGGGCTGATTGATTGATTGATTGATTCAGTGATTTATCGATAGATAGATGGATGGATTTCGGATCGATGAAGCGGCGGGTGATTACTATGAGTAGTATAGCCACCGGTTCACTCAATCTCCTTTCAAGCACGCTCTCCTCCAACTCGATGCGGTGATGAATTCCGTAGACGTTCAGCCGAGAATCCTCTCAAGAAAAACTAGAAACACTATTCGCGTCGTGCCTGTCTCCCCCAGACGACAGCTCCGCTCAGACGAATAAAGGAAGTCGGTGGGTTTCCTTCAGCGCACTCAATCGCTCGCTCTCGTCTCCGAATATTTGGGATGAGAGCCGCGAGTACAGTGATCTGATTTCGCGAGGCAGAAATCGAAAGAGGATCGGAGATCAGGCTTCGGTGAATACGATGATGCTTAATGGCTGTGCTCGGCAGTCTTCGACTCGACTCGAATAGTATTCGTAGTAGTAGTAGTAGAAGTAATTATGCTTCTGGCTCGAAGTCTCTCAACGACAACTTGGATCGCCACCAGATCGTAGAGACACACAACGAACAGACGGATTTGCAGCAACGGTGAATAGATAGGTGACTAGCAGTAGTTAATCGCTCGCAGCGAACTGTAGATTTTCGAAATGCAGCCAAACTAGAAGCTCTTCTGAGTCGACCGGCAATTGTTGAGCTTCTCGGGCGGCTTCTTCGCTTGTGTCTTCGGTGATTGATTGATTGACGAATCGGTGGATGGTTGACCAATTTATCGATTGATCGATCGATCGATCGGTCGGTCGGTCGGTTGGCAGATTTTCAGAAAGATAGCAGGAGCTGCGATAACTCTAGAAGGTTTTCAACACGAAGCTCCTCGGGGGTTGAGTTGATTACTTGGTTGAGTACACGGCGTTTTGTTTTCTCTTTCTTTGGGATAGACCGGTGAGTGGGAGCACAAGGTTTCGAAGGGGGAATAGCACCGCACACACACTCTCGAACAGTCACATCCGCGCACGTCAGCACAAATGAATATTCCGAATCGCTAGCTCCACTTCGTCGCCTGCTTGCCTAAGTTGCTCTGCCCGCTTGCTTCGTTGCCTACCCAGCTGACGCTCGACCAGGAGTCGAGACAAGGAGGAAGAGGTGGAGAAGGAGGAAGAGAGCAGAAGCGCTAGGGGTAACTACCACTCGACGGAAAATTCGCCCCCGTTCACGGCAACAGTGGCAGCGAAGGCAACACTTGTAGAAGTAGTGGCAGTGACGGCGGCGGCAGCGTCGTCAACAGCGGCAGCGGCAGTAGATGAAGAAGCAGCAGCAGCGGCAACGGAAGCAGCTGTAGTGAGTTCACTAAACATAATCCGAGTCGTCGACAGTAGGCTGAGGACACAGGCAGCTTTCGGGACCAGCGTCGCGCATAGCGTCGCACCGCAGTCGAAGCGTCCCTCCGAGGACCTCCTTCACCACCACCTCCAGCAACACAGACAGCTCCTGGGGACGAAGCGGACGATTCCAAACCTCGGCCGAGCGCAATAGCCGCTGCTCTGCTTCGCTGATAGTAGAAGTAGTCGAGCAAGCAGGGCTGCTCTCGGCAATCGCTTGGATTCTCGTACGCTTGTCTGAACGTTTGCGGATACTTTCTCCGTTAGCCCGAATCTTCGTAGTAGCGGGTTTACAAAAAGTAGAATTAGTAGTTGGTATTGTAGTCGGTTAGTTGTTGTTGACAGCTTCGTTGGTGCGCAGGCTCGTCGGTGGCTCCGTCGATCGGTTGCTCGTCCTGCGGATTGTGTTTGCTCGGTCGTCTCCACGCAGGTGACTTCACTGTACGTTCGTCTGTCCCGTCGAGTCGATCAGTTCCACTAGTCGATCGCTTCTCTCTCGGAAGAACCGTTAGAACCGTCGACTGCTCGCTCGGTCGGTCGGTCGCTTGGTCGGTCGGTCGGTCGTCCAGTGGTTTGTCCGTCCGAGAGTCCGTCACTGTATCCGTCGGATTCACCAGAGATGTAGAATAGATGATCGAATGGATGGACGAGGGGACGGATGGATGGATGGGATGATGCAGCGAGGGCAGCTGAGGCAATAGCACCGCCTCGACCAGCGACCACCACCTCCACCACCTTCACCGCGGCAGTACACACGACGACGACGGGCCGACGACGGCAAAACGACGGCGACGACGAGCACGACGACGACGACGGCAAAACGAACGACGACGGCAACACCGACACCGACGACGGCAACGACAACGAAGAGGGGGGGCTTGCCGTGTGTGAGTGTGTTGCCCACTCCTCGAGAGTTGAGTGCACTGTGTGAGGGAGCCGCCAGCCAGCCTGGTCTCCGCTGCCACCGCCGCCGCTGCGGCCGCTGCTGCTGCTGCTACAACGGCTCGGCTGTGCTGCTATCGCGGCCGCCGCTGCCGCCGCCGCGGCGGGTGCCCGACTCAACTCCGTGGGTTCGCGACTCTAGCGCCGCCTAGATTTAGCCGGCTTGCCTGCTTTCTTCGTTCGTTCACTGAACGAACGCATAGCAGCCTCTATATGTGTGTGCATAACGGTCCTGGATCGCTCCTACAACTACTTATATAGTAGTAGCTGCTGCTGCTGCCGCTGCTGCTCCGCAACTGCCCGTTCGTAGATCCAACAGCTGCCCGGATAGCAGCGAAGGCCGGTCAAGTGGCCGCTTGGACATCTGCCCGTACGGCTGTCCGCGCACTTGCCTGTCTATCTACCTATCCGCCTGCCCGTCCGTCCGTCTGCCCGCCTGCCTGCCCAATAAGCTCTTGTATGGCACACTCTAACAAAAGCTGCATTTTAGCGAGTGTTTGTACGGCAAACCTACGACGCCTCAGCGGTTTGTTCGGCAGACTGGATGAGCGAGCGAATAAATGGCCGAACACTTGCTTTTCTCTCTCTCTCTCTGACGGACTGTATGTATACTACGACACCGAATAAACGCCGAGTCGCCCGATCCCCCAGCTGCACAATCGCTCGCTCCGCCGGTCCCCTCGCTCGCTCGCTGAAGCTTCTGGACTACAACGCTGGATGATGGAACTAGGCCTCCTATATACCTCGACGACGCTCTTTCACTCAGTCGGAGCCTCGATCGCTCGCTCTTCAAACTCCATATGCTCAGCTCCAGCTGGCTTTGACTGGCTGCTGCTGCTGCTGCCGACACCGTCATCGCCGGTGACTGGCTGAACCTCATGCTCGGCTCCGTTCTACACAATGAGAACCGGATCGAGCAATCGGCGTCAGACGGACAGACCGAATCAAGCCGCAGAAGCAGTTCACCATCGAGTGAACGAAGGAACTGAGCACGGACTGAGCCGCCGACAGACGGGACGACCAACAAAGCTCATATGCTCGTCCCAAGTTCCGGACGGAGTTTAACCCAACAACGAGCCGCTTCCACGGCTGTTCCTCGCCGGCCCCTCGGCGGAGCGAGCTCGACGAGTCTTACGAGAATTATTCGTGACTCTGAAAACCCTCCGTCAAGGATCTCAGTCAGCTGTCGCTCATCCTCGACGATTTTCTCACTCGGTCTAACTCTCGACCGTTCCGCTGTTGCATCCACATGCTAGACCAATACTAAGGCTACGCTTGCAACACACCTACTCAGCAGGAGGAGGTATGCCATGGACAAACGATGCCAATAATCTCGCTGATCCCGCCGCGGAAGATCCTGTTAGGAGACAAGGGGACCCTCCTCCTCCCTGAGATGAATTCGGGCTCGTTGGGGGAGAAGTGACCGTCGCTCATTCCTCGGGACGCTTTTCTGAACGTTCAACGACCTCTGACAACGCTCGGTGAATTCGTGGGGGTGAAATGGGGGAACTCCACTTTCGCGTCGAATACTGATTCCCGTGACGTTTTTGAGTTCCCGGTATCGCCGGGATTGTCTGTGAGTGGGGCAGAGATCGCACGAGACCGTTTACGCTATGCTCCCTTGACCGACTGAGTGCGCAGAGTAGATGATGGCGGCGGCGGATCGGAGCGCCCTCCGCCAACTTACTGGCGCTGTCTTGTCCCCGTTATCGTTGCCGCCGAAGTCTTCGTCGCTCATGCTGGTAGCGATTTCGGCTAGCTGTCAAGCCGGCTTAGTCTGGCTAGTCAGCCGGAGAGGCTGGCTAGCCGTAATATCGATCTCCGCCCTTTCGCTGCCTACGCACAACACACGAAGATTCCCTCCGCCACCGCTGCTGCCACCCGCCGTCGCCGCCGCTGCCGCGACCATTACAACGAAGGAAGCCGCAGCGTCTGCCAGACAAGTAAACTATTCGGGAGTCTGGTGTGATAAGTTTGAGTTACATTTCACGCCACTTGAACACACCGATAGGGAATTTTCTGATGAATGTGGTCGGAGCGGAGCTGATTCAAGATGAGCACCCATATCTCGACAGCTCCGCATCGTCCGCGCGAGCACTTGCGATCGTTATGAATTTCCGGCAATGGGCCGAGACAACGAAATCGCAGCAAATTCTGCCACTGCGAAGAAATTGCTCCGAAAACGTCGATAAACAACAGCAGAATTCGCCATCATCGAAATCTTTGGCTGGAACTCTATTCGCTCAAACGAATGTCCCTCTCTCTACTTCTTGGAGAACGGCGCGCAAACGAAGCACGCCGCTTGCTTACCCACACAAGTGTTTATATGTTCTCTCTGTGAACCAGAACCGAGTCTAGCCAGAGCGAGCAGCTGCAGCTTATGACTGAGTCAGAGCTCGGAAAAAGAAGATGAGAAGGAAAAAGTCCAGCCGGTAGAGAAACTTTTCCCCGAGAGATTCTCTAACTCCCCTTCGACGTATCAACGAATCGAATACTTTGACGATCGTTTCGACGAAGCTTCTAGCCGGAGGAGCTATGCCGAGCGACCAATGATTCGTTCGCGACGAACCAGGAACATCGATACCATTTGGAGCTCGAAGGCTTATCCCGATTTTCGGCCTGACGCCTTTTCTGTGATTTTGTTTCCGAGCTCCACTCCGTCCAGATGACGGATATGATCTAGAATCTAGAAAGCTTCCGGAATCGGTGTGGGATCGCTCTCTTGTAATTTTCGATTGCAGCTCCCGATTGTAGCTTCCACTGACCGAGTCTGTCAGTGGGGAAAGGGAGGAGTTTGCCTCGATGGATTCCCATAGAGGGATCCCAGGGATGCTCCGAGGGACAGAAGAGATACCGAAACGTGGAACGGACTGCGATCGAATCGGTAATCGGCGATAGAACCAACACAACGGTTAATACGATTCAAGGAATGAGTTTCGCTAGTCCGTGGCAGCTTGTCAACTGCGAGCTTTCTGGGCTCACTGCTACCGAATACCAATGACATTTCGCGTGAGGCGTCTTCTGTGATAGAAATTCGAACTTCTGTTCGCGATAGGCGGTTCGCTTCGCTGATCGGCGATTCTGTAGCTCGTAGGAAAGCGTATGTTCCCCCTCGTTCGATGGAATACTCCGCTATGCTGCGACTCCGATTCGCTTCGGTTCTTCAGTTCAGTCGATAAGCGACCCGATTCGGACTCACTGGGCTTTTTCCGAGTCCAAGTCCACTGCCGCCGACACCATGGTCGTCGAGATCGATCGATGCTCTCTACTCGATCCCACGAACTATTTTAAGAAAGTGCGACTCATTCAAAAGTTTCACGACATCACGCCTCGGAAGTCCACCACGTCAAAACAGAGGGAACTTGTCGCACCGGCAGGGCCGACGACGCAGCGATATCCGCCGCTGCTGGCGCGGCAGTTGAAATTCCGATACGAAGCTATTTCCATATGACTCTTTAAGGAGCCATATGTTACCCGACCAGCTGCTCCGCTTCGGGATCCCTGTTCCCCGACCTCGACCGCTGAGGCAACTTCTGTTCTCGCAGGTGACAAGATTCGGCTCAGGCGCTCGATTGTTGATTCCCTTCTACATTCCCCTGTACCGGGACGGTATTTCCCCTGGGATGGGGAAAAACGGCACGCCGCTACCCAGCTCATCGATAACTGGAGGTGCGCACCATCATCTTCCTACATCGTTGCGTGTAGAACTCCTCGCAACACCGATTGAGAAAGTAGAATAAAAGCGCGGTGCGCATATCAAGGTGGGGTTCGGCGAGGAAGATCAGCAGGAAAACTTCAGCGGTGGACAACTTGCGGTAACGAATGAACCGCAAAGCTCACCCGAGTCCGCCAACACGCGATTTCCGAACCCAAATTTCGGATCGCGCATCTTATCGGCGGCGATCGAGCAGCAGCAGAAGCACGGCCTCAACCGGCTACGCGGTCATAGTCGAGTTCCTTGGTAATTTGATCGTAACCGCATATGCAAGTTGGATTCGCGGATCGTGCTGTCCCGATCTCTTTCACTCATAAGACCCCCCTGAGACCTCGGATTCCCGCGCTTGCTGACTGCATGTGAATCAGTCCGAATGCAGAGGCAAGCCCAGCATCTTCAAGACCGAATCCGAGAGGAACTCTGAGGTTTTGTAGGATGCCCGACGCTCGCGTAGGAATTTTCATGATCGATCCCGCCGTCCCTCAGACCCCGTTCCGTCGCGGAATTCAGTAGTCGTAGACATTCAGAAACGTGGTGGCTATTTGGTATAGCGTAAAATCGTATGACGGACACAAGTTCCCCAGCCCCGACAGTCCGATGTTCTATTCGTCTTATTCTTACGTAGGTAAATGAAACCATCTTCTACTCACAGCTGGTAGTCCATTTTGAAGGCCTAGGGAGTTGTGGTGTTCGGGCGATCCATTTAGGGGGGAATCGCTCCCAGACCCCGATGGAGGTCCGGAAGATGAAGAAGCTGGAAACGCGCCGTTGCTTTGTGGAAGCGCAATGCCGGCTGCGTCTTCGGGAGAAGTTTCTCGCCAGGTGGGAGGACTTTCTACGACCTTCTGCAGTACGCCATCCCTTTGAAGTCTGTACAAGACACTGTTGATGGTCTTCTTGGGTTGCTTGACCACCCGACACAGATCCACGGTGCGAATATTCTCGCCCGGATGGTTGTGGAAGTAGCTGAGAAGTTGTGTGCGGACATCGCTGCACACGTCAACCATTTTGCTCGGAGTGATTAAGCTTTTAGTCGAGTTGGTTGGTTGATTCTCTTGAGCTTCGCTGTTATCTTCCTTGAGCTCGTAGTAGCTAGGTGGAGTTGGTGAATCTGGGATCTGGATTCGATGCTCAACAACAACGGGTAATCAGATTCTCCCTGAAATCCGTGACGTGGATATCAGTCACGAAAGTCAGGAATTCTACAGCGTCCAATGCAACGGACTTGAGGGATGCCGAAAACTCGCAAAGAAAAAGCTTGCTTGTTTTGTTGGTTTTTGCTTGGCAAACGTTGTCAATCGATCGTTTTTCTCCTTTCTCTTCTTCTTCTTCTTCTCGGTCACCACGAACTTCTACTCGAGTCTTCCGCGTCTCGCCGTGGTGATGTAAAAAGTCGGTGCAAGGGTGTTGGAGGACGGATGTCGTCTTTGTTTTCTTGTTGATGAACGCTGTTGGTTTGCCGCCGAGCGGCTCTCCCACGACATTTTACGCTCCTAGGTCGCTTGAAACACCTTCCAGAGAACTCTGAGGCTCGTGCTTTCGCTGAGGTTTTCGCTCGAGGCTCTCGCTCCCGAGCTCATTCGCAGAGCCGAACTCCTTGTGTTTCCGCTCGGTACGAGCCCGTAATGTACGTCGCTGTGATGCCTGAATACTGTTGTATGCTTTCCGTGAAGTGTTCGATAGCGCAGATGTGACGAACCGACTGACTTTGTGGGTTCTCCGGTAGGTGATACCGATTATTACGGTAGGTGAATTACGTTACTGAGCGCAGGACACTCAATACGCACTCAGATAATACGTGCCGAAGCTCTGAGGGTGTCGATGATGATGCTGCTGCTGCTCCTCCTCCTAAACTTATGCTTCCGATTCGGTAGCTTGTTACGCTCGGACTGTTGATCACCCGATACAACTCGGACGTCTGCGGTGATACAAATCGCAATAGTCGTCAGCGTGCGGCTCTTCGCAAATTCAGCGTCCAAGCGTGATTATAACTCGAAAGAGGAAGTTCATGAATCGGCTCGTGGTATCGCGCGCCCACTCAGAGTCAGATGATCATCCGAAGCTTCCTGGCCTGAATTTTGCGCGTAATGATTTCCAGCCGAGTCGATACACCAGAATACTGATTGATCGATTTTTCGATTGACTGATGTGCTCTTCCTCGGATGAAAGAAATTTCCGGAGCCCGAACGAGGCTGCTCGTTCTCGACGGTGTACCTGACGACAAACAGGATCTCGAAGCGCTTTCTGATGAGGACTCCGAGATTGACGTAATGCCCGTAGTTCGCCTTCGTTGAAAGATGTTCAATTGCGGCGGCAACACTTCAATGAACACAAATTTGCTTTGGTTTCTCGAAATAATCGATGATCGAGTGTATATAGCCAGATGCCAAACGACGGATGGATGGATGGAGAGAACGATGAATATATGATTGTAGATGAGCGTAGTAGTAGAGTTGGGCCGGAGAGGCGAGCTCGCTGTGAAGCCGTCGGTGTACGTTGAGCAGGCAGGAGCTTCGAAACCGACGAGCGCTTAGCAGTGAGACTGGTCTTCCCAACTGTCGGTAATTAGGCCGGTGGCAGCACTTTGAGCGGCACCGTTAGCGCTGGGCGACTTTTCTGCTTACTCCCTTCCAGGATGCCTTCCGGCGGGTCAATACCTCTGTGATCGCCGACGTTCGCCTTCCGTCTCCCACAACAATTTCGGCCAGGATTCGCGAAACACCTGACGAAGGAGACCGACGGTCTCTCGACCGCGGAGATCTTCCACCACGTATCGTGGATATCACTAACTTAGTCCTATGACTCACGGCGAAACAATCGTTCGCACCGTTCAGCCCCGGGTGTTTATCCTCGGTTTTCGCAGGAGGAGCTTCCCCCGTGTGTTTGGAGATATGGAGCTGAATCGACCGGTCGTACGTAACCGGTAACTACCGATCGATCGATAGATAGATCGAGCGAGCGACTGACGGACTAGTTGTTTTCGCGAGCTCGAAAAGACCGGTGGATGCAACTACGACGGTCGTCGATGATGATCGCGATGCCGTACAGTCAGAAACTCACTCGGCTCGCTCGCTCACTGACACTCTCTCTCACTCTTGAAGCAAAATCCACCGAGATCACAGAGAACCGAGAGTCACAAACTCGACAGAAGCGGCAGCAGCCAGCGAACCAGTCTAGCACATCTCGACTTCGAATCGAGTGGCCTTTGCTTCAGCAGCGTTCTTCTCCTTCCTCTTCGCGAACGAGCGAGCGAAAACAGGACAACAAGCTACGCTTGCTGCTGAGGCGGCTTCTGCTGCTGCTGGTGCAGCTGCTGTTGTTGTTGCTGCTGCTGCTGCTCGCGTAGTTGTTGTTGACGTCGTCGTCGTCGTACTCCTCGACGTCGTCGTGCTGCTGGTGGTCGTGGTGGCGGTCGTGGTGGTAGCAGCAGCGGCGACGGTGGCGATAGCAGCGCTGGCTGCAACAACAGTCCTAGGAAACTCAGGAGTACGGACCGCCCAAACGTACACACATCCGAGCACCCACCCGCTCGCTCGCACACACTTGCTCGTTCGCTCCTTTGCTCGCACGCGCGCACGCACGCACGTTTTCTTGCTTGCTTGCTTCCTCCACTCCACACTAGTCAGTGAGTTGTTGTTGTCGTTGTTGGACGAACTGGTGCTGGAGTGCTCCGACGCGTTTCACGTATTCCTTCCGAACGTACGCGGCTCTCGCGCACGCACAACACTACACATACACGCACACACACACACACCGAGCGGCGGGGGCAGCAGCGGTGGAGGTGGCGTCGGCTGCACCGACAAACAGACAGACTTGCACACACGCACAAGGAGTCTCGCTCCTGACAACTGGACCCTTTCCCGCACGACAAGAAGAGACCGCGGCTCCGGGACTCGTGTTCTCCACAGGAGGCTCGAGACTTCGTCTATGGCTGGCTGGCTGGCTAGTGGTGCTGGTACTGCTGGTGGTGGGTTTCGGAGCCCTCGAGGAAAACCCTGCTGTTTCTCCCTGGCAGACAGGCACGCGACCGGGCTCCGTATAATGTCAACTACGTTTCCAGCTAAGGCACTTCACTTAGAACTTCGTGCAGCGGCTAGCAGCAGCTAGCTTGCTCTCTCACAACCCCAGCAGCGGCAGCATCAACGACCACCACAGCACAACACCACCAGGCGGCCGCCATCTTGCATCGACGGTCTCCTCTCACCGTCGCCGCCGTTGCCGCTACGATGAGCGGCGGCAGCGGCAGCCGCGTACCAAACCAAGTAGTAATCGACGGTGGCTGCGGCGGCGGCGGCAGCGGCAACATAGAGGCCGACGCCGCCGCTGAACGCTCGCTAGCAGCCGAGCGCGCTGGACGGATGGCAAAAAGCTCGCCTGGACGGCCGGCTCCTTTAGACTCTCGATCGCGCGTTGCCGTCATTGTTGTCGCTGCCGTTGTCGACGTCGTCGTCGTCAACGCCGCCGTCTCGCGCTCAGTCTAGGAAAAAGAACTCACGGTGCCGCTGGCCGATTGACTAGCGGCGGCGGCGCGGACAGTGCGGCTATCGTAGCGGGCCAGTAGACCATCTTTTCTTCTGCATGCTTTCGTATGCAACCCGTCTCAACATCACGGTCGACTCGCGCCGCGATTGTCGGATCGAGTCCCGTGAAATTCAAACGCGCTCTGCGATAAATGCCGCGATATAATATCAAGCTTGTCAGCAGAAGAAAGAGCCGCTCCCGAACGAGGGAGACCGAGATCACCGAACCGTATGATACGTGGATATGGAGAAGGTATGGGAGCGTAATTCAGCGCATTTCTCCCCTGGGAAACGCGGTTACCTATCACGTAATTCGTTCTGCCGAAGTCTGACGACTCTCATGGGAATTCCGATCGTGATGATCGCTATCGAGCTCTCCCGGAAGCCGGAGTCTGATCGTTCGATTACATATCGGTAGGACATCCCATCTCGGCTTTTCTCGTAGCTACCTATGTCGCTTTGAGAACTCAAAACCCCCGTATTGGCTATTCTCATCGACGTAAGTACTGACGGCTTCATCACCAGTTGCTCCGCGGATATTCCGGTTGTCCCTTCCCCTTCCAGCTGTTCTCCGTCTCGAGAAAGATGGCTTTTCGTTGACTATCGGAAGAAAAAGGCTTCCCGATCCCATCATGGAACCGTACACAGACCGAATTCTGTTCGATACGAGCTTCAGCCGTCGTCTATCTATGGGCTCGTAAATCCGCATGAGTGCGACCGATGCAGAATAATGGGAAGGGTATCCGAAATGGCTTATCAAGTTGAAATATAGAGATCCACCGAAAAGAGAAATACAGAATAGGTGGCGCGAAACGAATCGAGCGTGTTCCGCTCGTATATCCCTTCACCAATAATTCCGAAATTGAATGCTCGATCGAGCTCGCGGCTGGCTGCAGGCTGCGAGTTTTTGGCTTCTCATCGATCGCGCATCAACAAGCCTCGATCGGCTCGAGACAGACTTCCGAAGCGCTCAAGCTATTCCCTAATCCATGTTCAAAAGCTGTCAGAAGATTCACTCACGTCCGCGTATGTGACATAGTCTTGACCGTCGTCTTTCGTCAGATCCCGATATAGGCGAACTTCCTTTCACCTTAGCTCGGTGGAACTCCTGCGCCGATATCGCTACCATGCAATTAACTCTGACTTCCTCCAATCGCGTGAACGCATGGTCTAGACCCATACATTGACCTCTCAATCATCGATCTTATCTCTCGGTTCTGCTCTGGATGATCCCTCATCGACACTTTTAGTTGGCCGTCGAGCATACTGTTCTTGTCAATCGAGAGAAGGCGCTGCCAAGTCGTTGTCAAAACGAATTTCGGCGCACGACGGAATCGAGCGAGCGAGACCGCCCCAGGGTCGGGACAGTTCCACGAGCTTCGGGGAGAATAATAATTCAATAAGATCTTCCCGGCTCTGAACTCCATTAACCTTCGGGAAACCAAGTGATGTCTGGGAACGGCGACCACGAATAAAATGCAGCTCGA